CCGCCATTTCCGCCGTGAAGCAGTAATGCGTTTCGGTTCGAAGGGTGGGGTAGCCGTTGTAACTATACTGAGACCGTAGAACTTATATCTCGAGGTGGGTGGCGCATTAACGTTGTAGATGTCTATGGGCTCCAGTAACCACTTCACACCAGGTGGGCTGTGAGCTCGTCCACCCAACTAAGCAATAAAAAAAAAAAGGAAGCTCTCTGGTTCTTTGGAACGACAATCTATCTAATCTTCTAAAAATGATTTTATTGTAAAAAGAGCGCGGGGTGCATGGTATCAGTAGTTATAAATATTTTATGAACAGATATGAGTAGAAGGGTTATTTTGATAATATCCTGAAAAGCACCAATAAACCATAAAATTTATTTTCTATTTTTAGTTGGATTTTCTATAAAAACGTATTTTGTTAGTTTTTTTAAATTATTATTATTTATTTTTAATTTTTTAGTTGAATTTCAATTTTTACAATATTTTTTTAATATTGAATTGTCATCGGTCCTTAATAAGTATACCACATTACGAGTTAATCCGACGTTTTGAACAGGGTCAAAATCATGTTCAAAGATTCCGTTACATACATACGTCTGAAGCTAATAAAAGCGTTAAAAATAATAAATCATACAAGTCTTTATTCGTTATACACAAATTGATTAGATTTTATCAATTAGTGGTTTCTGAAAATTAACAAAATCCTTCATTAAAAATAAAATATAGGATAGGTAATAATATGTTACTGCCATCTACAGAAGCAATGAGAAACTAATCGAAGCGAAGCCATCTAATGGCCGGCGCCCGTAAACATTTTTGTTGAGTGCTTGAGTTGCTTATCTATAACTAGTTTATGTGTATTATCTATGATGCCTGGCAAGAGCTGGACGAGAGAAGCCCAGAATCGTACTCAGTGGCGTGCAATTCAATACATATAATGTACTTGACAAACAAACGCAAACTGCAGTAACAAAAGTTTGAAGTAACAGAAAAATAACTATGTTTTCCTTGTAACAATATGTAAAGCAGATAAGATAGTGTAGGTATAGCAGATTCTTCTTCCTGTTCTTGCTCAGAATATGTGGGGTCGGCGCATGTCCTTTAACCATGCTGCATAGGGATTTGTCATGATTTGACGACCGCATGTTTGACGTCAACCCCACAGCGGCCCCACAACTTGGGAATGCTATCGCAGGCATAAGACAATAGCCAGAAGAAGCCAATGGTCACCTTTTACGACAACCGCGGGAAGATATTTGTACTACATATATAAATTATCAGTTCGGAATAAACTATTGTATTGTACAGTGATTGCGACTAACTATCGTTCTGTACCTTTAATTTACTTTTTTCGTACCTATTCTAGTGATTGAGAGACAACAGAGTAGATTCACATAGCGAGTAGGTGAGCTTACGGGGCTCTAACCTGACGACGTTGCTAACAGCCCTAGTAAGAGCAGTGCTTAGCAGAATCTACTATTGGATCGGAATCATAACCCACTGCGAAGATCCGGCGAGAAAGTCAGTGGGCTGTGTCTATGGGTTAATTCACTCGTCGAGCCCTTCGTCGCAAGAACGAAGGCCAGCGCTTGAGGTTAAAAGCACCGTTAGTGGATCGGGAGGATCGGGAGGAGGAAATGAAGTGTGAACTTTAAGTTAATAACACATACGCATATACTACCTATATATTTAGATCCTTACGAACCAATAGCTTGCTTGATATACTTATCCTAATAGTTTGTCGGCTTAGTAAAGACATTGTCACTTTAAAGTGATTTGTCAATATCAAATCTATCAAAGCTTGTCTGTTTTGTTAGATTTGGAAAGCAGACTGGGTAACAAATAAGAGGGAAACAATAGAAAGAGTTGGTATGACGACGAAGATTCGTTATTCGAACGAATCATATGAATCATATGAATCATATGACTCACAGTATTTTAATAGACTCGAATAATCCTTTGCAACGTAGTTCATTGTCGTCTTATCTTAAGAACAGACTTGAATGATATATGTATGTATGTGAAATTTTGATCGTTATTAATTGTTTTAAAGTTTCACATCTATTTAATTTATAAACAGTATTTGTTTAACGGGTAGTTATTACGGTTTTTAGTTTTTATGAATTTGATTTGAATGAAGAATTTTAATTAAGAATTTTGGGTATTATTTATTTTCTTAAAACGAACTAAGCGCAGTCACGGTCTAGGAATACTTCATAAACACAACTTCGATTGGACACTTACTTTTTTACCTTTTTATTTATTTATTGCTTCGATGGGTAGACGAGCTTACGGCCCACCTGGTTGGTGTTAAGTGGTTTCCGGAGACCATAGACATCTACAACGTAAATGCCGTCACCCATCTTGGGACATGACTTCTAAGTCTCAGTTTTCACAGTATAACGGCTGCCCCACTCTTCAGACCGAAACGTATTACTGCTTCGCGACAGAAATAGGCAGGGTGGTGGTACCTACCCGTGCGGACTCGTAAGACGTCCTACCACCAGTAAAAAAACACTTTCTCAAACACTTTCGTTGAGTAGTGAATTCAAAAGAGTTGTTAAAGATTTACAGTCGATGTAAATATATTTGTGAACAATATGTTTTTCTTTTACACAAGAGAAAGTAACCTAAATTATGCAGGCTATTTGAATTGAATAACTTTCTTTAACATAATTTTTCCCGTATTGGTTCATCACAGGAACTGTAATGTGTTTCATAATATGTATTATAAAATTAGAATAAGATGAAATCATATAATCAACATTTCTGTTAATTATACCTAAAATTTGGATAATCTCAAAGTAAAAATATTTTCAGTACCTTTCAATTATGATACATTTACTTACTAATACAGTTTAAGCTACTTGTATATATTTAAATAAAAACACTCAAACTCTATTTGGTACTGTAAAAACTTTCATAAAACAAAACAATCGTCAAGACCTAAATAAAGCTAACTGTAAATTTGAGATATACTATCGCCATCTACCGTGCAGTAGGTGAAGCTTTGTTATTGCGAATGAACAATATTACTTCGGAATATTTATTGTAATGAATTTATATTCGATATCGTTCGTTCTGGCTTAGTCATAATGGTTATTATATACGATAATTATGGTTATGAACGACAAGTAATATAGCAGATTCTGTTTTGTGATTTCATAATCGATCGACACAATTACGTCACAGGTCTACATTTATCTTATCGTAATTACCGATTTGATTGCTCAAATTTAGAATTGTATTTTTTTTTAAAACCAAACAACACTTTGCAACGTTTTGTTTTTAAGAAATAGCATTTAAAACAATCTCTCACACGAAATCTAGATAGTCCGTGGGAAATAATTCGTATAACAGCCAATAATACATACAATTCACAAATCGTTATCAAGATCCGTGTTACAGTTAGTTCTATTCTCGATAGTAATTGCAACAGTCATATTATTATTTTGGGCCCGTTATAGAATGACTCATTCGTCATTCGGTAATTCTACGATGGAAATCTTGTATTCATTGCTTTTACTGTTCAATGCATTATTACATTGACTGTTTAAAAAATATATTGATGTTTTTTTATATCTTCTTCTTCAACCTGTGTCCACCCAATGAAGGTCTCTTCATTTATTATCTACCCATGTTACGACGTATATGAGGTCTTAACTCCAGCATTTTTGTGTCCTGTGACTGAGACTCCTGAGACTGAGGAAGTGGATCTGAGCCGGTATCAGATCCACTTTCTCAGAATTATTACATCATTTATTTATTTATTTACACCAAACTTGTAAACTCTTGAAGAGTAACCAATACATTTAAACAAAATTATACTTTACTCAATCTTTGATTTTACTAAATCATACACACATACATATATGTGAAGATCATTCAATCACTAACGAGGAAAAGCCATTTTACTTTTGAACCATGTTTTTTTCTAAAGGTTTTTTATTGCACAAGTGCAGACGCTGTGGGCTCGTCATTTGGTATTCAGATATAAGAATACATAGACATCACAACGTGAACGGCATCCACCTTGTAAAGGGATCGAAATCTCTATTGCATTGCTTATTAACTGTCTACCTGATTGCCTTCAAACTAGAACGCAAGATTGCTGAGATACATAGATTATACACCTGAGATAGATAGTGGCATGACCAACCCACTGAGTTTCTCGCCGGATCTTCTCGGTAGGTCGCGATTCTGTTCTATTGGTAGATTCAGCGAAGCACTGCTCTTGCTAGGGCAATCGTTGGCAAACTCAGGCTGAGCCCCGTGAGCTCGCGTATTAAAAACTGGAATAGCCCCTCAAGGCTATCAGTGATTAGTCAGAAGATAAATGATAGTATGGACAATACTCCCTACGATAATACCAATAAATATGGGTCTGCCTTTACAATATTCTGTTATTATACTTAAAGAATGCTGCCAATGCACATACTGGTGGTGGTAGGACCTCTTGTGAGTCCGCACGGGTAGGTACCATCGCCCCGCCTATTTCTGCCGTGAAACAATAATGCGTTTCGGTTTGAAGGGTGGGGCAGCCNAAATGATAGTATGGACAATACTCCCTACGATAATACCAATAAATATGGGTCTGCCTTTACAATATTCTGTTATTATACTTAAAGAATGCTGCCAATGCACATACTGGTGGTGGTAGGACCTCTTGTGAGTCCGCACGGGTAGGTACCATCGCCCCGCCTATTTCTGCCGTGAAACAATAATGCGTTTCGGTTTGAAGGGTGGGGCAGCCGTTGTAACTATACTGAGACCTTAGAACTTATATCTCAAGGTGGGTGGCGCATTTACGTTATAGATGTCTATGGGCTCCAGTAACCACTTAACACCAGGTAGGCTGTGAGCTCGTCCACTGATCTAAGAAATAAAAAAATCTGTAATTCCTTTCCAAATATGTAACTTCAATAATTCCCTATGTCACAATAAATAATGTGTTTTTTTAAGTTTCGATGTTCGCGTGTTATTGACGTCTATGAATTGGATTACAGAGCTATCGCGGCCGCAAGCCACTCGGTGGCACAGCAGGAGTTCCCGGAGCCCCAGGTGTAGCGGTCCCCGGTGTGGCGACCGCCGCGTCACCAAGTCCCGCGCCGCAGACCCCAGCAGCGCCGAGCCCCGCGCCCGCCACCACGCCCGCCATGAAGCAAGAGCACCCCAGCCAACCTATGGTCAGTACCAACTCTCTCATCAATTTAGAGTAACAAAATCACACTGAAGGCCACCGTCATCGTAGTCCTTCGATCAAACGGACCTTTTCGCGAGAATAAATGCTCAAAGTATCTAGTATTTTAACTAGGTACCATCGTACCACCAATACTGACCGATCCATTTTATATCGTTTTTTTTTTTTTTTTTTGCTTAGATGGGTGGATGAGCTCACAGCCGACCTGGTGTTAAGCGGTTACTGGAGCCCATAGACGTCTACAACGTAAATGCGCCACCCACCTTGAAATATAAGTTCTAAGGTCTCAGTATAGTTACAACGGCTGCCCCACCCTTCAAACCGAAACGCATTACTGCTTCACGGCAGAAATAGGCAGGGCGGTGGTACCTACCCGTGTGGACTCACAAGATGTCCTACCACCAGCTTAAAGCTAAAAGTAAATTTTGATTAGTCTGTATATACCTTTAAAAACTCTAATCGTATAAGATGGAAATTCAATACACAATAATACTATATCGTTAAATGGCAACTGGTCCACTATTTTGAAACTGAAAACGTAGGTAAATCCGCAAATTTTTTAAGCGGTGAAACTAATTTTGAAATTAGAAATATTGTTTCATTGATAAATTAATGAACTATAAAATAAAATGGATTCGTGTTTGTTACTAAATTTTCTAACCCGATATCCGTGACCACGAAATATTTATTACGAACGTCGGACATGGATAGCAAAAAAAGATATATCGCAAAAATACTCAGTAACTTTTGCGTCGTGGTTTTAAATCGTGTCAGCGCAAAAACGAATTGTGAGTACTTAAATATGAAATAAACGAGTCTTGCTCTAAAAGCGGATTAAATGGAAAAGTATTTAATTAAGAAAAGCGTCCGGGCCTATTACGTATGATGGCCGGTGTTCGTATATGAGGGGCTGGGCGGACGAACTGCCCTACAGAGAATCTTTGAGAGTCGAAGCCTTCAAAGATCCTCTGTGTAAATACTTGAATGGTATTATCGTGGAGCAAGAATACCAATGCCATTTTTTTTTCTAAGTTAACCTGAGACGAGTTTGCAAAATGCTTCCTTAATTGCATCATTACTAACCTACTGAAATATTGTTTTATGTAATAATTAAAATATTATAAGTTTTTATAACTAAGATAAATCAAAAATTAGCATAACAAACAAGCCGTGATTTTAATAGCGCCTTTAAAGTAGCATAACACTGTCCGAATATCGAAATAATTATTACGATAACATTCAAATTTGAAATTAGCATTAAAATAAAGCACACGCTAAATAGCGCTTGCATAAATTATGGTAATTTAAAATATCGACAACTTGGGTAGGAATAGAGATTGAATACAATTAAAAATAAAAATGTTTTGATGTTCAAATAGTAGATAGAGCCCACAGCATTTTACTTGGGCTACGTGTGGTAATGGAAACACAAAAATCATACAAACAAATTAGTACCTATACCTACAACAAACATTTTCCATATAAAATGAAACACACAATCCCGAGCACAAAATACAGTCTCTAAAAAAATCTCATTCTTAAAGCAAACCTTTCGCTTCTAATAAAAATACCTCACAAAAATTTCCTCCCAAAAATAAAACAGAAAAGATCTTGGAAAATGTAAATTGAATTCTTTCAATTTTCTCCGCTAAATAAAACACGGTGCTTTAAAAAAGTTAGGCAAAATCTTAATTTGCCTTATCTGTTTCTCATTGTGCTCGCTTTTAAAATCAACAACGTTCTAATCCTGTTTTGATAAGCAAATTGAGTTTGTTTACCATACTTAAGGTTGTTACATAATTTAAATGTTGCCTTTTTCCCCTACCTATTCTGCTAGCCTATGCGGCTTTTCCATCTTTTCGCGGACGGGTAGGTGAGCTCACCAGCTCAACCTGAGAGAGTTTGCTAACACTAGCCCTAGCATGAGCAGGGCCTAGCATAATCTAACACCGAATCGGAGTAGCGACCCACTGAGAAGATCCGGCGAGAAACTCAGTGGGCTGTGTCTATGGGCTAGTTCGCTCGTCAAACTCTTTGTCCTGATCGACAAGTTCGACGTGGAATAAATATTGCCCAAAATGCATTTGCGACGGCTACCGAGTTTTTCGAAAAAGCGCTAATTACTTTCTATGTCACAAAATTTGATGTAAAATCAAATAGTTTTTAATTCAAGCATTCAAAGGTGTTACTAAGTCGCCACGAACTTACCATGAACCATCCGGAATACAGTTTCACCACTGAGAATAATCGACAGGAAACCTAGAGAGCCCTTTTCCAAATATATGTACTAGACAAGATTCAAAAAACATTTTCCAAGGTAATGTGAAACACTTAACCGAAAACTGGACAAATGTCTGTATGTAGAGTTCCCACTTGTATTTTTTGTTTCAAACGTTTTGGCTTCGTATTTATGTATAAATTATGTCCATTCTATCAAACTAAAACGATTTTAATATGTCAAATTATTTAAATTAAATGCACTGGCTGAGATACGATGCAATAAGAAGTCGGAGTTGAACATTTTTAATTTTCACGGAACGATGCCAACTTTGACAATTCCCGAACTCGTTTGAGCACGCGCTAAATTTATTGTGTTCGCCTCCCTCTCGTGCTTTTACGAAAAATTCTTTATTTTTTTTACATAACTAATAATAGTGTTATTAGCATATGAAAATTAAAGTTAAAATAAGTTTTAATAGACGTATGTCGATCTAAAACTGTCTTTTGTTTGGTGAAACTTCGTTGTCATTCGTCAAACTCGTCACGTGATCTTTTTGTTTAGACAAATTCGACTGTATCTCTAAAATCTCATTGTTTATCCATTCACCATCTAAACATATTTATATTTCTTTGCTCGCGACAACTAAACAAATTGAAATGTTCGAACAATAACGCCCTATCAAAGGTTAACAAATGCTCAGCCACTAACACAATAGTAACAACCAGCATAGTTACAAACGTAAGACCATTGTTCCTGTATCTGAATATAATTCATTTACCGCGACAGAGCAAACAATAAATTATATATTTGTTGTTAGGACCGATGATATATTGGCAATTTCAAAATATTTGTTGGGAAACGATGCTATTGACCTTTGCACGTACGATAAATGTATTTTTATTACTTTAGATCGGCAACCGAGCTTATAGCCCACCTGGCTTTAACTGGTCTGAGGGTCCTTCGACATCATATCGTTAATGCGGCTTGCCCAAACTCACCTTGTGTTACGAGGTCAAAGTCAAGGTTGCTTGCTGGTGACGAATGGCTGGTGGAACAGCAATATAGATAAACGCAATAGCTTAAGGTAGTAGGAGCAAGATTTTCTCCGGTGACGAGTTTTTTAATTTTTTTTATTGCTTAGATGGGTGGACAAGCTCACAGCCCACCTGGTGCTAAGTGGTCACTGGAGCCCATAGACATCTACAACGTAAATGCGCTATCCACCTAGAAATGTCTGTTCTAAGGTCTCAAGTATAGTTACAACGGCTGCCCCGCCCTTCAAACCGAAACGCATTACTACTGCACGGCATATTGCGTTGCTAATAAAAATATGACGGGATCAAACAATTTCTTAAAGCGCTTGTCAAGTCACATTTTTGTTTCTACTACTCCAGCCTCTCGCGGACACGGGAAGGTGAGCTCACGGGCTCAACTTAAGAATTTGCTAACACTAGCCCTAGCTAGAGTAGTGCTTCGCAGAATCTACCACGACGATCTGCTGGATCGAAATCGCGACCCACCGAGAAGATCCAACGAGAAACTCAGTGGGCTGTGTCTATGGGTTAGTTCGTTCGTCTAATCGACGAAGACTGTGGCCGATGTTTCACGGCACATACGACACCAAACACAGATAGAACCAAAAATGTAAAGTTTTCTACATATGCGTATGTACATACACAATTTTTTTTTTTTTTTTTTTCTTAGATGAGTGGACGAGCTCACAGCCCACCTGGTGTTAAGTGGTTACTGGAGCCCATAGACATCTACAACGTTAATGCGCCACCCACCTTGAGATATAAGTTCTAAGGTCTCAATTATAGTTACAACGGCCGCCCCACCCTTCAAACCGAAACGCATTACTGCTTCACGGCATAAATAGGCAGGATGGTGGCACCTACCCGTGCGGACTCACAAAAGGTCCTACCACCAGTAATTACGCAAATTATAATTTTGCGGGTTTCACTTTTATTACACGATGTTATTCCTTCACCGTGGAAATCAATCGTGAACATTTGTTGAGTACATATTTCATTAGAAAAGTTACATACATACAAAATTAAATTACATACATACAAAAACGTAACACTTTACGTGAATCGTTATCGCGTCTTATACAATATAATAATAACGTTATAAACAAGACTAATCTCGTTACGGTATCTCATTACGGGGACATAACAAAGTTTTAATTACGAACGCACGTCATGTTAATAAAATATAATATTACCGAGCTCCGCGAATTTGTGCTGAAAATTAAAATCTTAACAACTTCTTAAGCAACGTGCCAAGGGATGTGCTCATACGTATTCGGAATTCGGGATTTTTCTAAAATTCCGATTTTAATTATTGCGAAAAGGTGATCAAAATAATATTATTATGTTATGTTATATAGTTTAATTTCTAAATAATTTTAAACTGTAAAAGATAGCATTTCGTTGAAGAGTAAGTAGGTCTAAGAAATGTATTTCTGTGGACTCTTCATATTTTTAACGTTATTAGGTAAAATAACTCAAGTCGGCCCGTTATTTAAGCAATTCCTAATAGCCAATAGTACTTGATACGTGAACTCTATCCTGAATGTGACGTTTATGAGATGTTGCGTAGTCCTTATTGCCTTGTAATAACGACTGTTATACTTTTCGGACCGGAACGCGATATTGCTTTCCGGCAAAACAGTAGAACGGTGAACTGATCTGAAAAAGCATTAAACACCTTCTACTACCGAAATCTTGAATGTCATAATTGAATTGTTAACGTTATTCTAATTTACATAAAGCATACAATAGATTCATTTTAAATTATAATACCTATTTGACGTTTTCAATTTTCTCGAATTCGGTACAACGAAACACAAACCGAATCACGTAAACGCGGTGCTAACATCACTATACATAACATTATAATTCGTTCGGAGAATGTTGTCAGCTTCAACTGTATCAACTTTATACGTACGAGAAAGTTTCGTAATTTAATAATTTAACTTCGCTTTGAAGGAAAAGGAATCGGTTTGTCGGAATATAAAATGTATGTGACGTACATGCTGAAAGAATCAGTCAGTAGAAAGCGTATTATTATGTATATTTAATAAAGGGTCTTTATTTATTAAGCAGAACTGATAAAGAGTTCTGTCTAATGATGAGTATCAATGTATTCTTGTAGTTCGTCATAAATGAACTGACTTTTCAGCAACAGATAACAAATCCAAGTTGACTATGATCTTTTTTTTGTCCTACCTATGCTAATAGCCTTGAGAGGCTATTTCAGCTTCACCCTAACGTGTAGGTGAGCTCACGGGGCTCAAACCGGAGTGTTGCTAGCACTTGCCCTATCAAGAGCAGTGCTTCGCAAAATCTACCACTGGATCGGAAACGCGACCCACTGAGAAGATTCGGCGAGTAACTCAGTGGGCTGTCTCTATGGGTTTATTTATTCGCCGAGTCCTTCGTCGCAAGCGACAGGTTCGGCGATGATGGTGACCGGTGCTTGAGGTACCTAAAAGCACCGTTAATGGACCGGCAGGATCCGTAATGACGTGTTTTGGCCGACGTCGACTGTTTACCATTCGGTCTACAGAATCGGGTATGGACTATGATCAGTCGTTGGTTCGTGTAACTTACGTTTAAACGTCGTTTAAACTGGTATTTACTGATTTATCAGTATATCAACCTACGACTTTTTGCAGCATAATTAAACTCGAGTTGAGTTAAACCGCATGACCTTGGGGTCCAGTTGATTGGTTTTTTTTTTTTAGTTGATGAGTAGTTTTTTTTTCCTACCTATTCGCTGGTAGCCTAAGGGGCGACTCCAGCTACGCCCGGATGGGTAGGTGAGCTCACGGGCTCAACCTGAGAGAATTTGCTAACACTAGCCCTAGCGAGAGCAGTGCTTCGCAGAATCTACCACCGGATCGGAATCGCGACCCACTGAGAAGAGACTGCGAGAAACTCGGCGGGCTGTATCTATGGGTTAGTAAGAGTAGTTGAGCCCACAACTTTGCGGCAGAAATAGGTAGGGTAGTGATGCACATCTGTGCCAATAATAAACCCTTAAAACCGCTACTTTTGCTTAGCTATGTCGGTCTTTAAAAAACACTAATTGGTCGAAACACATAGTAAAAAATTAAATTTATTTTTGAAAACTAAGAAAGATTAAATATTCTTCACACGTCTTGCTTACAATAAATATTTTTAGTACATGTTACGTATTCTTAGCGTTTATGTAATATTCAAAATTGAATTTCAACAACTAAATCGCAACTGGCCAAGCGGATCCTTCTCGAACAATGAAATGTAAAAATAAATTGTTTCCACACCACTATTATCTAGTGTAGTAGGTACGTTTGTTTATTATTAAAGAGATAAACAGTGAGTCAGATGCGTACGCCGACCTCGGTCAATGTGTGATTACGTTACGTTCACGTCACGTATACGCCCAGCCTCGACACAAATTGTACTCATAAAACTAGTGTGAAATTCTTTAACAAAAAAAACGTGACCCGTAATTCCTGAGTTAAATATTTTACTCAGAAAGAGTGAAGCACAGTCATAAATAGTTGCCCGCGTCTGGTCCATAAGCTGCCAGTCAATTTGTAAGTTCATTGGTACATGAATACAAGCGAAGACGTATTTATTATTACTACTAGTGGTCCCCTGGTAGTCGAAATTCAACTATAGTTAATTGAAATTATAAGCTTGCACACTATTAGGTATGATTCTATTGTCAAAGACTAATTAGTATACTTCTTTACTCACAGATTTCGCTAAGATTACACTTTAGACAAATATTAATAAAGACCAAAAACATTTAATCTATTCTAGATTTGACCACAGACTATAAGCAATAAGAAAAGTATGACAATAAACAAATAGTATCCATGCGTGTGTGTGTCAAATACATGGTAGTGTGTGTAATGTTTTTTTAATTGATTTAATGTTTTTTTTGCATAATTTTAAAAAATATTAACATTTTGCACTCCTTCTCTATATTCTCTATAAGTGTGGGAAATTTCATACTCCTCCGTCCGCGCAATTATCGTAAAAAGGAGTACAAAGTTTTTGCTTCACGTATTAATATATAGTTAGTAAATATAATTTATACAACAAACTGTTCTTTGATTGGTGAATGTACAGTTAACATCATAGAAAGCATCCTTTTGTTATTACAGGCTATAAAATAATCTGTGTGCGAAAATCACATTCAAATTCGTTTAGCAATTGTTACTTTGTCTGAGTAACAAAGATCCAAATCATTCATAGCATCCAAACAATCACATTTCTAATATTACTATAGGTAGATACAGGATGTTCGGAATCCAATGTTCAACTAGTTTAAGATTAAGCTTACTGGTAGTAGGACCTCTTGTGAGTCCGCACGGGTAGGCACCAGCGCCCTGCCTATTTCTGCCGTGAAGCAGTAATGCGTTTCGGTTTGAAGGGTGGGGCAGCCGTTGTAACTATACTTGAGACCTTAGAACTTGTATCTCAAGGTGGGTGGCGCATTTACGTTGTGGATGTCTATGGGCTCCAGTAACCACTTAACACCAGGTGGGCTGTGAGCTCGTCCACCCATCTAAGCAACAAAAAAAAAGATTTGGTCGATGAATGAATAAGTCTGATATTTTGTTGCCTTTTTGGTCTGGTTCTGATTCCAAAGTTCGACAATCCGGATGTAATATATTTTGCATAAGACTTTGTGTTTACACCCTGACACAGTTTGAGGCTGTTTAAGCCGGAACGTTTGTGTACTACTTAAATACTTAATACCCCGCTAACCGGTACTCGTCGAACTTGGCAAATAATTCGACCTGCAACCTAACCCATGCACCAGCCCCTTGAGTTTCTCGTCGAATCCTCTCAGTGGATCGCGATTCCGATCCGGTAGTAGATTGATTCGCGAAGCAGCTGCTCTTTTTTGGTTTATGTACAATATCAGCTGTCGAAACAATTAATTTAAAACAGTTGAGAAAATACTTTTAATCTAATTAGCATCCATAGTTTTATCAGGTTATGAAATCAGGCTATTTACGAGTGTTGTGTTACTTCAAAGACTTCCTTGACTAACGCTAAGCAAACCAACAATCGGAATCACTATTTAGAGCGTTGGTAAGCTTTTAAAATAGTTTTATGTCTTGTTTCAGGCACCGATGCCGTTCTACGCAGGCGACCCTAACAGATTCCCAACGACGTGGCAGACTGATCCGTCACAAGGTACGTATGAGACTAAAACTAATTATACACGACGAAAGTATGAATTAAAATCTTTTAAATAAACTCCTGCGTTTAATCAACTAACGCCAAACGTTAAAGTTGCAAATGAAACCTTGAAAGCTCCAACAAATATAAATATGACCTAAAAACGTTGAATACTCACAAAAGTACTTTGTTTTCTTAGGCTGGCAGAACCAGTTCATACAGCAGCTTCCCACACAGACGGGTCAGACGACTTTGGATTACCAAGGAAACCACACTGCCTACGCAACCTCGCCCCACTATCAGGCTAACACCACGTACACCGTCCAGAATGTCGCTACAACGTTTGACGTCACAAACAGCACGTACTATCAAGCGGGCGTGCAGGCTGTCCCCGCGCAACGACCTCCGTCGAACCGGGGTGCCTACACTCCGGTCCCCTCTCCGCGAGCACCTCACTACACCACAGAGTACCAGCAACAATACGCGCAACAAGCATCTACGCCCGGCGCAACTTCAGGCACAGATTCGAGACCAGCCTCGGCCGCTTCTTACCAAAGTAACGCACCGACAGCGGCCACCCCTGTATATTCTGTCGGTCAAAACTATGAACGATCAGAATACAGTACGGAGCATTCAGAAGAATACAATAATTCTGAGAGCGGCACTGGAGATACGAATAATGAAGTGGAAAGACAAGAGCAGAACTCGACTAGTGGACAGCAGTCGGGAAACGCCGAGCCTGGATACCTGCAGGGGAGCAACGGTCCGCGAGCTTCACTCGATTGTAGCGGGTATTCGGGCGCTTACAACAGCGGACAGTACAGGGAAAACGGTCAAGTGCAAAATCAAAACGAATGGCAGCAACAATGGCAACACAACCAAAGACTACAAAATCAACAAATCCAAAATCAACAGCAACAAATTCAGAATCAACAACAGATGCAAAACCAACAACAATTACAAGCTCAGCAACAACTTCAGAGTCAACAAATGCAAAACCAGCAACAACTTCAGAACCAACAGCACATGCAAAACCAACAACAGATTCAGAACCAGCAACAAATGCAAAGCCAACAACAGATGCAGAACCAGCAACCTATGCAAAATCAACAACAAATGCAGACTCAGCAACAAATGCAGAATCAGCAACAGATGCAGAGTCAGCAACAAATGCAGAATCAGCAACAGATGCAGAATCAGCAACAAATGCAGAATCAGCAACAAATGCAAAATCAACAACAAATGCAGAGTCATCACCAACAATTACAGCTACAAAACCAGCAACTTCAAAATCAACAACTACAGCAGCAGAGACAAGATGAGTCAGAACAGCAAATGTTTTCACAATCAGACAGGGTCAATTTGAACTCGAGACTGAAAACGATGATTTTAAATAAACAAAATCACAGCCGCGATGGCACAAATACGCCGCCGGATAAAGGGGATCCCGGAGAGGGACCACCTCGGGACGACAGGAAGACCGGACCTACTTCCGTCAACGACGATAGAAATACTACCGGTCATTTTTTATCGTATAGCCACCATCTCCGAGATAATTACCGCTTAGGCGAACAGGTATATCCTGCCGCTGGTAATTATTCACAAAGCACTCATGCTTATAGCGTGAGTGAGTTCGGAGGTGGTGGCCACCAAGTATGGGAGGGAGGAACAGAGGCTCTGAGAGGTTATGATAAGCACGTTCCTAATAAGAACGTATCCAAAACTTCTCAGAAATTACCGTCCTACGCGGACGTTAGAAGCCAATACGGTGCATATACCACCGTATCGTATGAGCCGCATAAATATGCAGAGGCATATAATAGTGATAGCTTAGGTTTAAATCAGCAAGACAGTAAAGATTTCCAGTCGAAAATGCTCATCGGACCTGTATCGGAAATGAACCAACAAAACTGCACCACAACGCAGGACACGAACGCACAAACACGAGCTTATGATAGAGAGGCGTACGATGCAAAATTTAGACACCCATCGGCGCCCTTAATACCAAAATTAGAGATACCTGATAGTTATCAATACCACAAAGACGAAAGATTAATTAAAACTGAAGTGCAACGACCAGCAAATCAAAATACGTATACGAAACAGAATGAAATGTCAATAAACAGTTTGTACAGGGATTATCCTAATGGAATAGTAAGTAGGTCACAACAGAATACAGTTTTACCGCCTATATCTACAATAAAGCAAGAGGGCTTTGCCCAAAGCCCACAGACCTATCAAAACTTTCAAAATTATCCTTACCGGATAGACCAGAGGCCAGACCAAATTGGGTCTTTCGCACAAATACCTCGAACGCAAGAGAATATAGGATTTCAAAAATATAACAGATCTTACAGTGAAAGCAAAGAAAGTAAGTCAACAGAAAACAAAAGTAGTTCAGATAAAAACACTCCATCGGAACCAAGATCTTACTACATTGAACAGATCAAATCTGAACACTCGCCGCCAGGTCACAAAATATATAAGAACATGAACTATAGCCCGCCGAGAGACGAACCTTATTTATTTCCCGGGGACGGAGGGCCGACAGCCATCAAAAACGAAGTGGGCTACTCGTGTTGTCGACAAGGATCTACAAAGAAGCCGCCCCCGGAACACCTAAGAGATGGCGCTTGTCCTGGATATCAAACCAAAGATGAAGTTTTAGAAGACGAACCTGAAACTACAGATAAAAATGATCCCAAAAACCAAAAAGCCACAGCGCCAACACCAGATGTAACGAAACCAAAGGAAAACCAATTCAATTACTCAAAAGAATATTTAGAAAACTTGGAAAGATTACGAACTAATTCTAGGACGGAGGTTCCAGATTGCAACTGTTTTCCTGCTGACAAGAATCCGCCGGAGCCTGGCAGCTATTATACTCATCTAGGTACAGTTATCACACTTTATTAAAACAATTATGGCTGACTTGCTGGTTTGAACACAACAACTGATTAATTCCACACCTTTTAGGTTCAGCTTCTAGTCTGGCAGAATTGAGGAGGGAGCTAGAGGCTCGGACCGGCCTGTCAGGCAAGGAGCTTAGAATAGAAAAGATCTGTTACACTGGGAAAGAAGGGAAAACAGCTCAAGGTTGCCCTATGGCAAAGTGGGTGAGTGTATGGATCTCCAAATTTTACATTATATTGATAATGATATTTAGTCTACAGATTTACAGCTATAAATCGCTTAAGTAAGCCATGCTGGTAACGACCTCGATTGAAGACGATGCTTCCTGAGCCGTGACGTAGGGCGTGGTATCTCCGCGGATAATGTTGCAGAAACATACGATGTCTATAAATTTGAATAATTTTCACTCTAATTTGTCAATACAAAAAACTTAGGGTGCTATAAGTTCTACAGCACGACTATCTTTCCCTATATACTATATGCTTAAAATAATTTAATTTAATAATAATAGAGGACAAGTCACGCCCAGTCATATGCCGCGAAAGTACCATTCCCTGTACTATGGGAACCAGAGATACACAGATTTAAACACATTTTAATATACACATACATATCATATCAATATTAAACATCTAAGGAACAAACAAACCTGTACACCACACAAATGTTTGGCAGATACAGGAATCGAACGTCGGCTATTTCACCATCGAGTCATTAATTTTTTTATTAAAAAAACTGTATTATATGTAAACCGGTACAAAATTCATGAGGGGTAACAATAAAACATGTTTCCAGGTAATCAGACGAGCGAACTACACCGAGAAAGTCCTAGTCGTAGTGAAGTGTCGAAACGGTCACAAATGTCCCACCGCTTGGATCGTTGTGTGTCTGGTCGCCTGGGAGGGCATCCCTCAGTCGGAGGCGGATCTCGACTACACTCTTCTATCGCACAAGCTGAACAGATACGGCCTACCTACCACGAGACGTTGCGCCACTAACGAAAACAGGACGTGTGCCTGCCAAGGTAAGTATAAGAGGTTCTCTTAAGTCTTACGAGTATAACTTCGATTAGGATTGGGAAAGAAACCAACGATACAGGCTTGCGTAGTTTGGATATTAGTGTTAGTATAGAAAGGAAGCCTCCGTAAAACTCTTAGAATATTAGCCCACACCGTCTTCTCGCATTAAAACTGTATAATCTCAAAACTTACTAATTTTACAGGAGAGTGTTTTAAAGGTTTAACATGTAATAGTTTTAATAATAATCATCTTTGTAATATTTATTTTTTATTTTTTACCCGTTATCGACAGATAATGTCTTTTAAAATAAGATAAAATTATGTATTAATTTTGTTAATAGTAGTCAAAACATGGGTAAACTAATTAAAAAAAAACTAAAACTAAGCTACGCTCTTTTGACAGTATTTATGAGAAAAATACTGGTGATACCAAATATTTACGCACATTAACTGAATTTCGAATATTTTTGGAAATTGTACACTTTTAATGCGAAAACGACACAGTCGTCATACTTCATCCTCATGTTTCAAGATGGTTGATGACACTCCGTAACACGTCACAGTAGTAACTCCTTACAGCAGGTGGGCCGTGAGATAGTTCACCTTCGCTTCAAAGAAATAAAAAAAACATCCCGCTGCGTTATTATTTCTACATTCATATTCTTTTTAAAATTATTGAGACAGTTTAAGTGCGTTACTTGGTCTAACAGCTTTGATTGTAAAACCTTCATGTTACCTCAAAGACTTTTTGCGCTGAGGGTCGTGGGTTCGATTCCCACATCGGTGATGTCATGAACCGGTTTGTTTGCTCTTTATCTGGGTGCTATCTATATATGCATATATTTAAACGGTTATAAGTATGTATGTCAGTCTCTGATACCTATAAAACAGGAAATCCTAGTTTGGGGCCCGATGGCTGTGCATGATTAGATCCCAGTTATTTATTATACTTACAATTAGCAGTAAATCTAAGCATACTTTTTCCTACCTATTCTAATAGCCTTGAGAAGCTATATCAGTGTTACCCTAGCGTGTAGGTGAGCTCTCGGGGCTCAAGCCGGAGGTGTTGCTAACACTGGCCCTAGCAAGAGCGGTGCTTCGCAGAGTCTACCACCGGATCGGGAAACGCGACCCACTAAGAAGATCCGGCGAGAAACTCAGTGACCCGAAGCACACTAAGATTTTGTTTTAAACCCTAATTCTAGGTCTGGACCCGGAAACGTGCGGCGCCTCTTACTCTTTCGGCTGCTCGTGGTCAATGTACTACAACGGATGCAAATACGCCCGTTCAAAGACAGTTCGGAAGTTTCGGCTCTCGGTGAAGACGGAAGAGAGTGAGATTGAAGAACGCATCCACGTGCTGGCGACCCTGCTCAGCCCGCTGTACATGAACCTGGCGCCGAGGGCGTTTGACAACCAGTGCCAATTCGAGAAAGAGGCGTCGGATTGCAGACTGGGCTTTAAGCCTGGCCGACCTTTTTCTGGTAAGCCTATTTATGTTTCTGCACAATGAATTTGAAGATAAGGAAATGGTTGCACGGATTTACGGATTTCATGCCCGCGAATAACTAAATTTACTGTATTTTAATATATACGCACATAGGCAAAGCAAAGTACTAGTCTACTGTTTGTCAACGGACTTTCTGCACTTAAATTTTTATTTATCTATTGCTTAGGTGGGTGGACGACCTCACAGCTCACCTGATGTTAAGTGGTTACCAGTGCCTATAGACATCTACAACGTAAATTCGCCACTCACCTTGAAATATGAGTTCTAAGGTTTCAGTTTTTACAGTACAACGGCTGTCCCACCTTTAAAACCGAAACACATTACTGCTTCACGACGGAAATAGGCAGGATGGTGGCACTTAGGTAGCCGGTTAGCCGTGCGGACATACAAGACGTCCTACCACCAGTAATTACGCAAATTATAATTTTGCGGGTTTGATTGTTATTACACGATGTTATTCTTTCACCGTGGAACTCAATCGTGGAAATTTGTTAAGTACGTAACTCATTAGAAAAATTGGTACCCGCCTGCGAAATTCGAACATCGGTGCAACACGAATGCACCGGACGTCTTATCCTTTAGTCCACGATGACTTCAAATAGATGGTGGATGGGGTCAATAAGTCTGATAGTAATGAGCTCGAATGTCGCAGGTGTGACTGCGTGCATCGACTTCTGCGCGCATGCGCACCGCGACCTGCACAACATGAACAACGGCTGCACGGCCGTGGTGACGCTCGCCAAGCACCGCGCGCTCAGCCGGGCCGGCGACGAGCAGCTGCACGTGCTGCCGCTCTACGTGCTCGACGACACCGACGAGTTCGGCTCCAAGGAGGGCCAGGACGAGAAGGTCGCGAGCGGCGCGCTGGAGATACTCGACAAGTGAGTGGTGATGTACCTCCGAAATACTTGGGACATATTCTCTCCTGTCTAGGTGTAATTCCATTTACTGACTTGCTGTATTTACAAAGTTTTGAAACGCCATTGAAAATATTTTTGACCCATTTATTTTGACCCGTTTGTTGGCCAAAATGTAACAAAAATAAAGCACTTCAGACGTTTTCCATGGACCTCCTTCATAACGTGAAGGTCTGCCCTTTAAAAAGAGCGTTTTTTTTTTTTTAGAAAAAACAGTATAGTAACTATAGTAAAGTATTATGTACAAACATACACACAGTATACATACATACACATAACCTACAACGTCGTATGATAATCATTCGTATATCAATACCTCTGATTTTCTTTCGAAATTGGTCAAATACTTCGAAGATTTTTAAATAGTGTTAATATTGTGACTGTGTTGATTTCAGGTATCCCATGGAGGTCCGTGTGCGCTCAGTGCCGTTACAGCCATGCAGGAGGCACGGCAAGAAGCGGAAAGAAGAAGACAGCGGGGACTCTGCGAACAACTCTACTAACAACACACCACAACAAAGTCCTGGAAACAATCAGAAAAAGACTCAGTGCTCTACCCCCACGCCTCGAACTCCGCAGCCTGACGCCAGGAATAACGCGAGTCCACGAAGCCAAAGCAGCTCATCGCCCAGAGCCGGAACTCCGTCTTTTAACCAGTCCAACCCATCCGCGTTTACCAATAACCAACACTACAATTCCGCTTTTATCAACCCTAACATGCACAACCAGAGTCAGGGTCTCATGAATCCGAACTTGGGCAACCCTGCCTTATTGGACATGGCGACAATGATTGACAACTTCACCGATGCCCAACTCCAGAGCAATCAGATCTCGAGCACAGTTTTAGACTCTCCGTACAATCCGTACGATCAAAGCTACAATCTCCATCATCAAAACGCTATATACCAAGCAAACTCTATAGCGGAAAATAATTCGTGCCAAAATCAAAATCCCAACCAGCTGCCCAGCTTTGCCACCGGTCTCCCGAAACGAGATCAACAGTTCAATGCCGCTAACACTCAGATCAATGTACAGAATCAATGGCATGACTTTAATAGCGCTCAAATATTCAATAATGTGGTTAAAGAAGACCCTGATTCTACGACGGCTCATTTGAACGTTCCCCCGAATAACTACAGTCCAGATTCGAACAGGAGCGACACCAACTCCGATCAAATGTTACAAAAAAATAACGAAACCGTTAAACAGAGTGCTGTCGGAGAGATAAATCAGAAGTTACCGGAATTCGAGATGCCATGTTCCCCGCGCCTGACCGAATTATCACAGAACTCACAGAGCACACCCCCGTCTCCGGCGTCATCTCAAATATCCGATCTCAGATCACCGAACAACGAATCGCTCAATTCATCTGACGTTCGTCAGAGCGTTTGGAAGTCGCCGGATTCTAAAAACTGGGATCAGTCGAAACCTAAAGATCAATTGACTCTTGAAAATGAAAATCTGTTGTTTCGAGTGCCAAAAGCCCGGCCACCGTCTAGATCGCAGCACGTAAATCCAGAAAATTTGGAGAATCCCACCTTTCTGAAACCTTACCCGCCCTCTGATAGACCGCACCTCAATCAGGGCTACGAGCACAGGAGCCCCTACGATGCGAGAGTGCAAAATAACACTACCCCACAAACTTCCGCATCGCAAACAAATTACACTATCAATCACGAAGAAATCAATCAAGCGACAGCAAACAAACCTGATTTCACCGGAAACAATTTCCATCCCGTTAACCAAACCTCGTACGGAAACCAAGCTCCCATTCAAGGATATGGAAATTATCCGCAGATGACAAACGCCTATCCGTTTTCAGCCAGTCCGTACGGACATTTCAACCCGTATGAGAATTCTTACAACGACTATAACCTCGCTTACTACAATGCAGAAAAATACAAAAGAGAGGAGTTATTGAGAAACTCGCACTGTTACAATTCATACGGGTATCAGTACAACCCAAATTTCACCTCCAACTTTTATCAAAATCCGAGTCCGAATTGGTGTCAAACATCGCCAAACTGGTGTCTGTACCCACCACCGTTCACTATCCCGTACCCACCGGAACCGCCTAAAGCTGAGCCCATCGGCGAAGTCACAGAATACACCGAGAACCTGGAATGCTTTAAAGACAGCCAAATGGGGGGCGTCGCCATCGCTCTCGGACATGGAAGCGTCCTGTTCGAGTGCGCCAAACACGAGATGCACTCGACAACCGCCGTCAGAGCTCCGAACCGAGTCACTCCGACCAGGATCTCGCTCGTATTCTACCAGCACAGGAACTTGAATCGACCAAAGCACGGGCTCGAGGAGTGGGAGGAAAAGATGAGGTTGAAGAAACTAGGGTTAAATCCGCCGACGCCTAGCACCCCAGCACCGGCCGCGATCGCACCGACGCCGGTCGCTAGGCCAGGGCCGATAGGACCGAGTGCGGGGCCAGGGTCGACGGGTCCAAGGTCTGCGGGCCCGGGGCCGGCGCTGGTGCGTGCCGAGACGCACACGACGACATCATGGACGACGCTGTTCCCCATGCACGGCTGCACGGTGACGGGCCCCTACCAGGAGTCGGCCACCTGACACAAGCCTCCGCTCGCTGAGCGCCCCCGAACGGACAAAACTCTTCCATAGATGTCTAAGTTCTATGTTGCCTTTCGATATTAGATAGTTAGGTAGCGCGCTTCCTGAGAGAGGCTCGCTGCGGGCGGCGCGCCCAGTCCGGTGAGCGATCGTAGTCGGGATCCACGACGCCTCACGACGCCTTCACGACGCGTTAGTAACGCGCACCGAGTGAGTTGCAATCAAAGATGTAATTTTAAGTTACGTAGTAGTGTCTGACAGCATTTCAACTAGTCTTACGTTTCACCGCAATGTCGACGTGACGACGTGTTCCGTAGCGTTTGTTTTTGTATATTATAGTTACGCCGGTGCGCGCACGTCCCCTTGTAGGCAACGGATTTGATGTACGTTTTATTTTTTCCTGCATATTTTGTCGATATTTTTTTGTCTAATTAAGCGCATGAACAGGCTTTATGCGATTCAATGATCTCATAAACTACTAACCCTACATTAATGTTTATTCAGAACAAAAGTACAAGACGCCGGGTCGTGTAGGCCCCGCGGGGCCCGGGACGCAGTCGTTGGAAGTCTTTATTGATATTTTTGTACCTTTGTCTGTGTATTAGTTGTATGTTTTAATGTAACTATTTTATTACCATTCCTAAATACTTTTTATGGTTTGTTTTGGCATATATTTCAAAACCGATCAAAATCATGTCGACTTTACGACATGTCTTTTGTAAACAAAGACGCGAGTGCTTTTCTATTAGGTTTAAGATGTGTGTATTTTTAACTTTTTAGAATTTTTAACTTATTTATATTGTATTACGTGAACCATTATCGAATCATTTTTTCTTTACGATAATTTTAGTGTTATTGTAGCATTTTAATATTTAATATATTTGCTTTATGACTTGTCATTAAATTATTGCGATTGTTTTGTGCATGTTTCTAGAACGCCATCTTTAATTTTCAAAACGAGTGCCTGTATATTCGGCTATAAGTTAATGATTGATATTAATGAAGAATCTAAAATAACGAAAAACTGTTGAAATTGTGACCTTATATTTTTAATCGAATTACGCATTCAATGAAATAATTTGTGTAAAATTAGATACGAAGAGATGTAATAATTTTAAATTATAAAATCCAAACAATAAAAACGATTCGTAATAACGTATGTTGCATAGGGATAGATTTATTGCCAGTACTAAAAAAATGTTCTCAGGCGCTTGGAAAGATTATAAAGTAGGCATATTATTAAATATGAATGAAAACATACTGATTGATAGTTATTAATATATAATTAGCTTGTAAGGAAAGTTTGTTTTAAAGATTAAACTATTGATATAGTTTATATTTTTTACGTGTACGTATTTATTGAATGGTAAATTTATTGGGACGAACGTGAAATTATTTATAGGTAAAAGTTTTGAATGAAACAAAACTTATAAAAAATAAGCAATAATAGACAACGGATTCTATATACGTTGTAATGTTAGGTGTGCAAAAAAATAAAAATTATAATAAACGAATGGTGCGATAATATCGACAGTCTTATGGTGAAAGCTTGTCTATGGTACGTTCGGTCGACACCGACATAGAATCTGCCTAAATGTATTCCGTTATGTATTGTTTGTGTATAAACATTGGTATTTCCCTGAGTTCTTGCCATTAATTAAGTTAATAACTTATATCTCTTCCAAAATCAATAAATCGACGAGACATATCAACGAATCAATCACAATATTAATAAAAAAGTAAATAATCAGAATGAACATCACCAAGAGGCAAAGAATTTCGAGAACAAAATCGTGATTAGTTACAAAAACGTTTTATGTAAGACACTGTATCATTAGGGTTGCATTAGATACCTGTGATATAATCGTAATTTCACGAATGTTTGGCTGTTGCGTGCTTGTTTAATACCAGTGTGATCGTTCATCAAGTAACGTACCTATGTTTTATTGTTTCCAAACCAAAAACAAANTCACCAAGAGGCAAAGAATTTCGAGAACAAAATCGTGATTAGTTACAAAAACGTTTTATGTAAGACACTGTATCATTAGGGTTGCATTAGATACCTGTGATATAATCGTAATTTCACGAATGTTTGGCTGTTGCGTGCTTGTTTAATACCAGTGTGATCGTTCATCAAGTAACGTACCTATGTTTTATTGTTTCCAAACCAAAAACAACCAGTATTCGATAGTTGTAGCCAAAAATAATGAGTTTAGTTTGTGTCTTGGGTATTACCAATGTGAAGCCTTTCGCCAAGTAGCTCGTTTTTTTATTTAGAAAAGAAATGTCGATTGATTGATTGGCTATCTATTTGATTTTTTAAAATTGTGATGAATTGTGAAAGTCAACGATTTTTTTGAGTAGAGTTATTGCCCGAAGTCGGCTCAGTGCTACTCAGTCTTCATTTCCAAGAAAATTTGTGTAACGATATTTTAATCGCATTTTCTGCCAAAACAAAAGAGTAAATCGAATGTGTCATGTAAATAGAACTACCATTATTTATTAATACAATTAATTTAAAAAAATATGCTATTCTTTTATTTATTTTTCCCAAATACCAAACTCCGAATTTTGTAGTGAACTATTTTGTTTGAATTTTGTTATGTTTAATATCACGCACATACAAAGGATGTTTTTAAAGAGGTATAGAAATTTGAAATTGAATAAAACAAAGGTGATTTTTTTAAAGTGAGAATAAATTTACTTTATTCGAAAGAAAATCTTGGCATTATTCTTTTTTTTTTATTGCCCTTGTACGCAGACTAGCATACGGCCCACATGATGGTGAGTGGTTACCGTCGCCCATGGACTTCAGGAATGCCAGGAGCAGAGCCAAGCCGCTGCCTACCGCTTAATACTCTCCACAAGCCTCGTTTGAAGAAGGACATGTCATAGCGCTCGAGCAACACCGTGGATGGTACGTGGCAAAAAAGATCTCTGGAAACGCACTGTGGATGACCGCAGTGGCTCCAGGTAGTATGGATGAACTCTACTCCGGTGGCGGGCGGTGCGATGGTAAAAACGAGATGCCGATATCATCTCGAACAATTCCTCAGAGCACTCCCCATGGAACATACGGCACAAAATACAGAGGGAACCGAAGTCCCTCCGCAGACCCAGAGGTTCCAAACGATCCGAGAGAATGGAATTATCGACAATCCGAACGGCCCTCCTCTGTATGGAGTCAAATGGAAGAAGCTGGTATTTGGGAGCCCCGGCCCAGAGATGGGAGCAGTACTCCACGCAATGCCTGACTTGTGCTTTATAAAGCAAAAGCCATTGTCCAGGCGTGAAGTACCGCTTCGCTCTGTTGAGGACTCCCAGCATTTTGGACGCCAACTTGGCTTTGCCTTCCAAATGACTCTGAAAATGGACATCGCTCGAAATGTCGAATGTGGGTATCGGGATACTATCGGAAGGTTTCAGGGATACTCCTTGGAATTGCGGCGCCATGACAAAGGGGTCCTTCTTCGCAGTGAACGCGCAAACTTGTGTCTTTAACGGGTTGACTTGAACCAAGTCTTCGGACGTAGTCTAATGTAAAGGTCCAATTTTCGATGACTTTTTCCAACATTTGTGACTGTATATTGTGGCAATAATGCGGCGAACGTTGTCCTCCAAGTGGTCAGCCGTTTCGAGCTCATCGGCGTAGCGCCTTAACAAACGTTAAGCTATGCGGTAACCAAACGTTTCCTTCACAATTACACTTTTTCAAGCTTCTCCCACATGAGACGGTTCTTCTTACTTCTGCCCTGCATAGTTTGGTTTGGTTTGGCATTTCAACATAAATAGACTGACGTATGAACAACGCTTCCAAATTGTGCAAATTTATTTTGAAAATCATGATTCTAAGATCTCAGTATAGTTACAATGATATGAATTGAGCAGTTGTTAACTAATTGAAGTATGCTGAGTTTGGAAATTTAATATACTTAATGACTAGAATAGTTAGTGACAATAATTAATATACAAGACCTCTCATGTTTACGTAGTCCAAACTAACTTCGTCAATATAACCTAAAATTATTGCTGTGGTAAAAAATGGAGACATCGATTGTATTTTCTTATCAGCCTTAAATAAAATATTTTCCGTGATTTCGTAGTGCTTACAGTTTTTTCGTCCTTTTTTATTTCTCTAATATTCTAAATAGCTTTCAGCGCCTTTTTTTTAATTTACCCGGTTGCTACTGTAGCGCCACCCTTATTTAGCAGATTTTAACGGACACTTTTTCACACACAGAGAGGGTTTTCCTTACCTCTACCATCCATAAACCATAGGTAGGTACATAAATCAATTGAGAGCTGACAAAATGGCCGCCAGTTAAAAAAATGTTGCCAACTTAAAGTTTTTGCTTGTATAAAAAACACCGTTATATTCTGAGTTCCGTCACGACAAAACTGAGATTGAAAAGAAAAATCAAATCAACCAATGAATTTTCACTAGGCAATTCGTAAAGATATTGGAAATCTTTTAAAACTTCTTTAAGGAAATCGCTCGCAAAAACGAAACCAGATAGTACAGATTGTAATACCTGATAGAAAGAAAATACAGTTGCGATAGAAAAAAATCGCTATTCACTAATATTTTCTGCACTGTGTACGCTAACACAACCGCACCGTGGTGAAGATAGAAAGGCCCCCGGGCATCAGCAATCCCTTAATACCCAAAAAGTATATGACAAGACCAACAAACTCATGTGACGTAGGCTTGAATAACAAATCCATGTTTAAAAAATGAGTATATTTATTGTACAAAATATAAAAAATATAAAAAAACATTAAAGTTCACAATAAGCACCCAGTATCACAATATAACATTTTTGAACTATACTTTACATTTAAAACAATATCATATGTCATTTTTCATGGAAGTTAAATTCTAATTACAACATCATAGAGATTCATATATTATATTTTTATTACAATGGAATGAGTTCTTTTAATTACTAAACTTTATTAAGTATAATTATAAAATTCATGGTCATAATAAGTACGTTAGAATAATATATAAATAAATTCTACAATTTGACCAGTTTTTTCATGTTGGTAACTATGTAATATGCTATGCATTTTACTATTTTATGTGATCCACATAAAGTTATTTGTAACTTGACTTAGCTCAAAATCTGTGAGCTTAATAAAAAGCTAAATACTTTTACAATATTTCTTTACGGTTTAATTGATTAGAACTAAAACATGTCATTCAATCGCCTGCTTGTTTTATTCAATACGAGTAAGTATAATGTTATTTGAGACACTTTTCTTATAAATAATTTCGAACACAATTGTTAGAATATAAGCATTTAGTAGCAATTTTCCTCAAATTAAAATCTTAAGGTCAGTGTTTCTAGAGTTGCAAAATGAATAATTTATTTTCATAATTTCGAAATTAATTTTAATATTTCAAACTAAACTGTATATCTTCTGTGAGTATTGAATTTTTACTCGAAGATAGCAGTTGCGATTTCAGTGATATTATTTCATCAGTCACATTCAGTTTTTAGATTAGAGCAAAAGCGACATCTATTCAGAGCCAGCCGCATAAAAAAGGATTTTCAGTCAGTGTTATTAACTACTGTTTGATACTATTTGATAAATGTCCTCCAAGCACAAGTCCTCGATACGAAAATGGATCATTACATTAAATGATATTCGATAGCTAGCCTTCGAGATTTATGTTACTGTATGTCAAAACAATTTTCGTGCTCTCGATTATGAGTATAAGTTTCGAGAATCCAAGATTGCGAAACGCAAGTAAGTTAACTCATTCGTGCTACTGAAATCAATTATTTTTACGGACGGTAGGGGCACTGTTTAAATCCTATACTTTTTTTCGATTGCGATACCAATACCTGGTGGTAGGAGCTCTTGTGAGTCCGCGCGGGTAGGTACCACCGCCCTGCCTATTTCTGCCGTGAAGCAGTAATGCGTTTCGATTTGAAGGGTGGGGCAGCCGTTGTAACTATACTGAGACCTTAGAACTTGTATCTCAAGGTGGATGGCGCATTTACGTTGTGGATGTCCATGGGCTCCAGTAACCGCATGGGCACCCTCGGGCGTGCAGTGCGCGTTCAGTAGTGGTCCTGGTGCATGGCGACGAGTATGTTGGCGAGCGCGGTGCGCGCGTCCCCGGGCGGCAGGCTGCGCAGCTGCGCGCGGGCCCGCTCGGTGTGCAGTGCGCGTTCAGTAGTGGTCCTGGTGCATGGCGACGAGTATGTTGGCGAGCGCGGTGCGCGCGTCCCCGGGCGGCAGGCTGCGCAGCTNTGTATATCTTCTGTGAGTATTGAATTTTTACTCGAAGATAGCAGTTGCGATTTCAGTGATATTATTTCATCAGTCACATTCAGTTTTTAGATTAGAGCAAAAGCGACATCTATTCAGAGCCAGCCGCATAAAAAAGGATTTTCAGTCAGTGTTATTAACTACTGTTTGATACTATTTGATAAATGTCCTCCAAGCACAAGTCCTCGATACGAAAATGGATCATTACATTAAATGATATTCGATAGCTAGCCTTCGAGATTTATGTTACTGTATGTCAAAACAATTTTCGTGCTCTCGATTATGAGTATAAGTTTCGAGAATCCAAGATTGCGAAACGCAAGTAAGTTAACTCATTCGTGCTACTGAAATCAATTATTTTTACGGACGGTAGGGGCACTGTTTAAATCCTATACTTTTTTTCGATTGCGATACCAATACCTGGTGGTAGGAGCTCTTGTGAGTCCGCGCGGGTAGGTACCACCGCCCTGCCTATTTCTGCCGTGAAGCAGTAATGCGTTTCGATTTGAAGGGTGGGGCAGCCGTTGTAACTATACTGAGACCTTAGAACTTGTATCTCAAGGTGGATGGCGCATTTACGTTGTGGATGTCCATGGGCTCCAGTAACCGCATGGGCACCCTCGGGCGTGCAGTGCGCGTTCAGTAGTGGTCCTGGTGCATGGCGACGAGTATGTTGGCGAGCGCGGTGCGCGCGTCCCCGGGCGGCAGGCTGCGCAGCTGCGCGCGGGCCCGCTCGGTGTGCAGTGCGCGTTCAGTAGTGGTCCTGGTGCATGGCGACGAGTATGTTGGCGAGCGCGGTGCGCGCGTCCCCGGGCGGCAGGCTGCGCAGCTGCGCGCGGGCCCGCGCGATGTGCTCGTGCTGCACGCGCTTCGTCTGCTCGAGCCCGTCGCCCTCCAGCACCGCTTTGTACAACTGAAATACATTTTATTTCTTAACATTTCATTCGGCTCTTGAGCTTTAGGACGACTGTTCCCTAATGACAGTAGTGTTACACCAGTAAGAGTATCGCCATCTATCGCCAAATAGTCGAAAGAATATAGAAGGTTCTAGTAGCACCCAGAATGCTCGAGAATTACAACGCCATTTAACGGCCGTCTGGTGTAGTGGTAAGTGACATGGTCACTACACAAGGGGGTCGCGGGTTCGAATCCCGCCAAGAGAAGATATTTGTATGATAAATATAAATGTCTTTTCCAGGGTTATGGATGTATATTAAATATATGTATGTGTATAATAAAAATCTTACATTTATATCCGTTATCTGGTACCTGTAACACAAGTTCTTTACGAACTTATCACGGGACCAGTTAACGTGGCGTGGTTGTTAGTAAATATTTATTATTATTTATTTATTTATTATATTTATCTGTTGTCAGATAGCGGAAACTGCTACTAGAGATGTGTGGAATATTCTCGATAATTGTAGGGATGAGGTATCGGCTATAAAAGCGTTGTAGAGATAGCACGCAGTCAGTCAATAATCGGAAATACTCGAAGCGAAACTGCGAACGGATAACCTGAAGCGAAGCGGAACAAGCGAATTGAGAGTTTTAAAGTGTTTGTTGAGTGTTTTAAGGTGTTTGTGAAGTGTTTAAGTGGTCTAAGTGTTCAATACAGTTTTAAGTTGTACTTTGGTGAAATTTTATTTATCCCGAAGCCCAGCGCGTAGCAATAGTATATCGGCGTATTTATATAGGAACGTGTGTATGCGACCCTACTTGGCTTTGGCTCCTAAAGCGGTTGATCGACATCCTATAGGAGCTAAGATATTGCTCAATTTTTATTCCTACCTTTTATTAACCTAATTCATAATTGGCGATAGGGCATGTTGGGAACTCGTTAAAATTGTGGCGGGTAGCCATCATACAACGCAAGATAATTGACAGATGCCTGAATCTCGCTTACGACATTTTCAAAATAAAGCGCATATATACAAGTTCCGAACAACAACATTCGGACCGTCGGTCTACCGAGCAATGTCACCCGCTCGGTGGAAGATCTTTCCTTTCGTCGTTAAGACTCCCAATCTGTAGTTTTATAAATGTAGGATTAGTAAGAACGGAACGTACGAAAAGAGTGTGGAATGGAGCGTTAAGATTTGAGTGAGAGAAAACGGTAAGAAAGGGAAAAGAGGATGACAGACAGAATGACAAAAAAAAGGAAAATGGCGAAGACGATTAAGACGTAAAAAGGGTTTTAGATATTTTTGAAGTGAAACTTCTTTAGAACCGTTGTGATTTCAAATTCGATGAAACGAAAAAATAAGTCCGTAGTGTTTTTTAATACAGCGCCCTCTATGAGATTTTTTAATACTAACCTCTTGTAGTGAATTTTAATTTAGGATTATACGTGAAGTTAAATGTCAATTCACAGAGGGCGCTACCTCATACTATAAAAGATGATTTACAATTATTTACTAATGACAAAATTTTACATATACATACTTGAGACATTTAGCATAATTGTATTTTAATTTTTGAAAGTTTCACTTCTACCACATGTGAATTGCACACATGTATTTTTTTTTTAATAAGAGTCATGTATCTTACAGGGCCCGCGCGCATTCACATCAGCACTCTTACATCGCTTTACTTAAATCGTAATATAAAGCGCAAGTACACGTTTAGCACTTATATACAGCGGTACTCACCACATCAACATAGATAGAATTAGTTATTTGTTAGCGAAGTATATAATAAACGGATATTCTTTGACTATCAGTGATTTCTTTCTATGCTAAATCTCAAGCTGTATACGCCACATTCAGCAGCGCATACAAAGAGAGGATTTTTTAAATATATTTTTTATTGCTTAGATGGGTGGACGAGCTCACAGCCCACCTGGTGCTTAGTGGTTACTGGAGCCCATAGACATCTACGACGTAAATGCGCCACCCATCTTGAGATATAAGTTCTAGGGTCTCAAGTATAGTTACAACGGCTGCCCCACCCTTCAAACCGAAATGCATTACTGCTTCACGGCAGAAATAGGCGGGGTGGTGGTACCTACCCGCGCGAACTCACTAGAGCTCCTACCACCTACAACAAAAAGGAACCGAAGACCCTTCGTAGACTCTGCTGCGCAGCTGCTGCTTGTAGCTGCGATCCTTATTCTACAGAAGTGGTATATTATGGCTCACGGCGTGGTAGTCGACGTGGTGCACGCTGGCGCGGCCCGCCTCGATGTAGGAGTAGAGGTGCGGGCGCGCGTCCAGCGTGAAGGCGAGCGGCGCGCCCACCAGCGAGAACGAGCTGGGCTCGGGGCCGCTGAACGCCTCCAGGTCCAGGTACGCCTGCCACGCCAGCGCCAGGTGGCAGCCGAACAGGTAGCCCTGGAACCCACATACCCACTATGTATACCTGATTCGGTGATCGTTGTCTTTTACCTCACTTAAAGAGCATGAGGGATTTAAATGATTTTAATAATCAAGAAATTATCGCTGGTCTGCATTATTAGATTAGTAAATTTTACGAATTATGCGATTGGTATTTTTTAGGATTTTTTTTTCCTACCTAAGCTGATGGTCTTGGGAGACTATATCAGCGTAACCTTAACTAGTAGGTGAGCTCACGGTGCACAAACCTGACGACGTTGCTAACACTAGCCCTAGCTAACCCTAGCAAGAGCAGTGCTTCGCAGAATCTACCACCATATCGAAAACACGACCACTGAGAAGATCCGGCGAGGAACTCAGTGAGCTGTGTCTGTGGGTTAATTTACTGAACGGTGACCGGTGCTTGGGGTACCTAAAAGCTCCGTTAGTGGATAGGGAAGATCCGAAATGACGAATTCCGAATCCGAATCGGGCGACGTCAACTGTTTACCAATCGGTCCGCAGGATCGGGAATGATGGTAAGACTACATACCGTGTGGAAATATTGAAACCATTCCCGATGAAGAAACCGGTAGTAAGATCACGTGAACGCTAATACGGACCGCATCGTCAGCAATAGAAGCAAAAATTACATAATATTTACTGATATTTTTTGCATTCCACGTATAGTTGCATAATAAAATTCAGAGGCGGTGAATGCGTTTTCCAACTGCATCGGTGTTGAGTTGTTGGTTACGTAATTATGACATTAGTCGAAGTTTGTAAATAGAGATTGTTTTGGATTGTTTTCGGGCCGCGGTCGGTGCGGGTACCTGCGTCTGCATGTGCGCGTCGTGGCCGGCCAGCTTGAGCGCGGCGGAGCAGCTCTTGCCGAGCAGCGCGCCGGCCGCCAGCACGTGCCGCGCCGCCCACTCGCGGGCCGCCGTGCCCAGCACGCCGCGCATCGGCAGCGGCTCCAGGATGCAGTCCCACTCTGTCACCAAACAGATGCCGAGACAAATACACAATTTATTCTTAAGCTTTTTTTATTGGAGTTTACTCCTTTAGAATCGATTTACATATATAGGCCCGGGGTATGAAAATTATGGGGACCAAAATCGTACTAGCATGTCACACGAAATGCGTTATGCGCCTGATTGGCTCCTGATTGCGTGATGCGTGCGCGCGCCAATCAAAATCGTACTAGCATGTCACACGAAATGCGTTATGCGCCTGATTGGCTCCTGATTGCGTGATGCGTGCGCGCGCCAATCAGGAGCCAACGCGCGGCCGCGTTATCGCAGGTGACGCCGGGCTGCTGCGCCGGCAGTCCGCCACAAAGCCTCGTACTGATCGCGCGTTTCTCTCATTATTGTATTTTCATATATTTGTTAGTCGTTTGTTTTGTGTCTCGTTAATTTGTTAATAATCTGTAGTGTATCGTGTTGTCGTAATATAGAACTATTTCTCGTATTGTTTCGTTTAATTTTTTATATCCAGTAAACTCCAGTCGTGCGTCGGAGCGGACACACACACTTTTTTTATTGCTTAGATGGGTGGACGAGCTCACAGCCCACCTAGTGTTAAGTGATTACTGGAGCCCATAGACATCTACAACGTAAATGCGCCACCCATCTTGAGATATAAGTTGTAGTATAGCAGCCTATACTTAGCCAATAATATATAGTACAGTAGAGTGTGAACATGTCCATAACAATGTATGACGCGCGATATTGTAGTACTATGAGCTATATACTATATGCTATTATAGTATAGCGTAGTCTGAAAGCGGCTTTAAAGATCATTTATGTACGATTAGTACAAACGGAACTTATGAAGGATTGTGGAACGAAGCGTTAAGCTGTGAGAAAAAACGAAAATACATGAAAACAGAATCACTACATAGTATAAAACAAAGTCGCTTTCTCTGTCCCTATATCCCTATGTATGCTTAAATCTTTAAAACTACGCAACGGATTTTGGTGCGTTTTTTTTAATAGATAAGAGTGATTGAAGAGGAAAATTTATACGTATAATGATAATGATTAATGTCTATAGTATAAATAATTAAATTAATTAGATTGTACTCATCTCATGTAAAGCTTTCCTTCTTTGAGAACGGTTAGCTGGTAGATAACTCAATTGTTGAGTTAAGCTCGCCATTTTTTTTATATCTTATCGCAATTACTGTATTATATTAACAGTGTGTACAAATAAAGAATAAATAAATGATATCCATAAAATAGTGGAGAAATCAGTAATAAATTACAGTTCCCTAAGCGAAGCGAGGGCGGGTCGCCAGTGACAGATAAAAGGAAGATGGCCAAAACAGTTAAGTTTAAGCGGCGGTTAAGTTTAAGTTAAGTTTAAGCGGTAGGCAGCGGCTTGGCTCTGCCCCTGGTATTGCTGAAGTCCATGGGCGACGGTAACCACTCACCATCAGGTGGGCCGTATGCTCTTCTGCCTACAAGGGCAATAAAAATAAAAAATAAAAAAATTTAAAATGAGTAAGGCTTAATAAAAGTGTTAATTAATTGAATAACGCGCACATCCCTATTGGTTATATCTCGAAGGTCTTTTTTTTAAAGTCTTTTTTCAGAAGATTTTGAAAAAGTATAGTAAAAGTGTAACATCAGAATAAATTTGTTTTATGTGCCACAATCCCACAATTCTACAATTATATGGTTACTTTTAATGTTCAATTCGTTCAGACGTAGTATATTCGATGCGGTTAACTTTGTTAAGTGTGAAAGTTTTTATTGACAGTTGTGCCATCGACATACAATAAGTGTGTTAGTCGCTTCAACAAATAAATCTCACAGTAACTTTTCAGATGAATTGAACCAAGACAATGAGGTTATTTCGGTACTTTACAAGACATGTCGCTTATTTGACTAATTAGTATTTAGACTTTCGTCAAGTAAACTTTTATTAAAATTCATTGTCAAAAAACATTAAACTCTATCATACTCTGCAATGCATATTCCCTTATATTCCCATTTTCAATCAGTATTAATATCATTAAGAATCGTGAAATAAATTTACAACGAACAAACTTTTAAACAAACGTCGATATGAAAACCAATAAGGTAACTGATAAAAGTAACATTTTTATTTTTTTATTGCATTGATGGGTGAACGAGCTTACTGCCCACCTGATGTTAAGCGGTTACCGGAGCCCATAAACATCTACAACGTAAATGGCGCCCTTGAGATCTAAGTTCTAGGTCTCAGTATAGTTACAACGGCTGCCCCACCCTTCAAACCGAAACGCATTACTGCTTAAGAGAAAAAATAGGCAGGGCGGTGGTGGTACCTACTCGTGCAGACTCACAAGAGGTCCTACCACCAGTATGTAAACAATAAAACCAGAAAGTCACACATTACACATATTTAAAGACGTTGATATAGAATACCAGTATCACTGATTCTCTATATATAATTTAGATGCGAGTCACATCGGTTCGTCTGCATTCAGGGCGCGGCGGTTCCGTACTCAACCAACGCGGGCGACTGAATTCTAATGTGGCGTTTTATATGGCGACTTGTCTTCGGAATGTGAATACTGTCCTTTTTTTTTGTAAACGAGAAACAAATACGGTTTCACTGTTGTACTTTAAGTACTAGTCAAAAATGTGATTGAGATTCGGTAAAATTTTATGTAGTCTTTTTTTTCCCTGTCTATTTGCTGGTAGCCTAAGGTGTTATCCCAACTTCGCGCAGACCGGTAGGTGAGCTCACCAGCTCAACCTGAGAGTATTTGCTAACACTAGCCCTAGCAAGAGCAGTGCTTAGCAGAATTTACCACCGGATCGAAACCGCGACCTACCGGGAAGATCCGGCGATAAGCACAGTTGGCTGTGTCTATGGGTTAGTTCACTCGTCGAACTCTTGGACAGTGACCGGAGTTATCCAGTACTTTGAACGTATCCATGTGGTTCACGAACTAGTTCCAAGATGTAGGGACAACATCGTATTTAGTGGATAACTTTAACTATCCTTGATAAGGCGTATCTATTGAGACCGCACGTATAGGTACCAGCGTCTTTTATATTGCTCAGATGGTTGAAAAAGGTCACGGAACATTCGGTTTTAAGTGGTCACCGAAACTCATAGACGCGATAACTTGAAAACCGCCACCCAACTTTAGACTAATCAACTTTTTTACTGGTGGTAGGACCTCTTGTGAAGCAGTAATGCATTTCGGTTTGAAGGGTGGGGCAGCCGTTGTAACTATACTGAGATCTTAGAACTTATATCTCAAGGTGGGTGGCGCATTTACGTTGTCCGCGACATGTTCAAACGAGTTTGTAGGGTGGGAGAGCTGTTATACAATAGGGATTCTGTCGGCATGGTCCCAAGATAGGCAGTATTTATGCTGTCCATAGGCTCCTGTGGTCACACGGACGACGGACTCGCAGTAAGACCGTCCATGTCCAGGCCACGCCCATTCCACAATAAACCAACAAGAACTCATTTGCTAAATCAATATTTACCCGCTTATGATGCGAGTAAATCGGTTAACCTAACATGTTTGCTTACCATCGAAGCGGATGTTGACGCGCGAACTAATTTACATTGACGAAATACGCGAGGGCGCGGTTATAAAATTATTTAGTTATCGGAATTGAGCATCACTTCAAAACTGGACATTTGAGAGAAGAGGGACCGAAAGAATATACTTTAATGGATACCGAAAACAGTCAACAGGCAGGTATAATTGTACAATAGGCGATCATATCCTTAAAAGCATTCTCTTTTTTATTTATTGCTTAGGTGTGTGGACGACCGCACAGCCTACCTGGTGTTAAGTGGTAACTGGAGCTCATAGATATCTACAACGTAAATGCGCCACCCGCCTTGAGATATAACTTCTAAAGTCTCAGGCATAGCTACAACGGCTACCCCACCCTTCAAACCGAAACGCATCACTGCTTCACGGCAGAAATAGGCAGGGTGGTGATACCTACCCGTGCGGACTCACAAGAGCTCCTACCAACAGAAAACCTACCGGACAACCGTTTTTATCTATAGAAATTCTGAAAAAGATACAGCAGGTATGTTGCGGTGTACTATTATTAACAATATTTAGAGTTATACATCAAGATAGACCAAACCATTACGCACCTTATAGAAGAAAATAAATTTAAACGATAAGTATACATATAATATATCTACAATTTACATATAATATGAAATCACTATAAGATTTACATACAAACATACTTACATACACATAATAAACTCTGACTTTATGTCTTATACAAATTTAATGATTCATTACGTATCATACACATTGTACGTATCTACATTGTTAATATATAATTTGATAATAGTGAATGGAGAACGATGCCCAAGACCGATGTGAATGGAGAACGATGCCCAACACCGATGTAAATGGAAAAATTTGATTGGAGCCCTACACCCCAGCAGAGGGTAATAGGAAAGAATGATGATGATTATGAATGGAGAACGCGCTTTGCTGTATCACATTTTATATCCAGCAACAACTGTACAAAAATTTTACCCAATCGCACCACTTTTTTTTTCTTGCCTTTGTAGGCAGACGAGCATACGGCCCACCTGATGGTAAGTGGTCTCCGCCGCTCATGGACGTCAGCAATGCCAGGGACAGAGCCAAACCGCTGCCTACCATTAAGTACTCTCCGCAAGCCTCGTTTGGCGAAGGACATGTCATAGCGCTCAAAAAACACTTACTATCAGATAGGCTGTCAATCCATAAAGACCAATAAAAATACAAACAAAGATTTTCTAAAGTATTCGTTTTTTTATTCTAGACTTTTTAATATTTATTCCCAGAATTATTATGTTTAATTGATACAGAAGGCAGATGAGCATACTATCCACCCGATGGTACTTATGTATTCACCGTGACTCATGTACATCAATAATTTAAATCATTTAGTTATTAAAACAATCCAATTTAAGCAAAAAATACGTATAATTTCATTACTTCATTTGAATTACCGCAGATAACATTACGAGACATTCTTCGTAATCATGTTGAGTTGTATGCATGTACAAATACATTATCAATGTATTCAGACATATCATTGAATATAATTTCAACGTAATTCTTATTTCTTTTTTTCCCAACCTAATCATTGGTAGCCTAAAAGGCTGTTCCAACTACTCATAGACCATTAGGTGCACTCACGGGTTCAACCTGAAAAAATTGCTAACACTGACCCTAACAGGAGCAGTGCTTGGCAGAATCAACCACAGGATCAGAAACGCGACCCACTGAGAAGATTCGGCGAGAAACTCGATGGGTTGTGTCCGTAGGCTAGGGCTCTTAATGTTGCCTCACCATGTTTTTCCTGACTATGCGTAAGCTTGAATTGCTAGCTTTTGTGCTTAAGAATATTTTTTTTATTAGAGCAAGATTATATATTCAAGTCTATTTTGAATAGACTAAGAGATGAGTTGATTTCTAACACCTGACTATAGAGATACGAACTAATTTCAGTTCCCCCAAAATAATAATTTTTTGCCATTTAATTCTTGATGTCTACGAACGCCGGCAGCCACTTAACATTAGATGGTCCGCGAACACGTCCACCCAACTATTGGGATTAAAAAGAAACATGTAAAAAAACAGTTAACATTTTTACCTGTAGGCTCCTCTCTCTCTTCTTTAGATAAAGGTCTCGAGGGTAGAGGATTGTTTTGATCGTCGCGTTCACCCATGAACTCGGCCTCGGCGAGGTCTCGAACGGCGGAAGACATCAGCTCTACCAACTCTTGATTCCTGGAGGGTACATCGAGTTCGATACTTGAGCAAAGGGAATCCGACATTTCTTTCGACAGCATTCTTCTACATTAAGTCAATCTAGCAAAGTATCCGCGATAAGATCTTCAAAATTCATACATAGATATGTTATTCTGAGGTAAATATATTAGTTACTTAAATGCTAGCACGTAAAGAAAATGCTTTGTGTTACATTTAGAGTACTGGGAGATTTTGCTGAATTTGCAATTTGCTTTGAAATTCTGAATGTACTCGTACTAGAGGTGAACAATGCAGTGTTTTATGACATTCAAACTACCAAATACCTAGTCAGGTCATAAATTCTGTTACATGTTTAATGTAAAATAATTGAAACAAGTTTATTCATTATGTAACCATTCATATACCAAAATGAAGTTAACAAAACATAGATTCTTATGACACTAAAGTTTATTCAAAATGACCTCCGTGATTTTGAATACAGGCCTTCAATCTGCGCGGCCAGTCGTCTATCGCAGCACGAACGAGGTCCATGTCAATATCGGCGGCTGTCTTAATCAAGGATGTCTTGAGTGACTTCAAATTGGGATGAGGCTTTGAGCACGCCTTTTCCTCCAAGTGTTGCCATATCTTGTAATCTAACGGATTCAAATCTGGACTGGAGGAGGGCCAGTCTTCGTGCCGGATGAAGTCGATTTCACGCGCCGCCAGCCAGTCTTGTGTGCTCTTCGCTCTATGAGCTGGCGCCGAATCTTGTTGGAATACCCAGTGCCTGTTATTGAACATGGTATGAGAAACAGGTTCCACAAGGTTCGTCAGGACTGTATTTTGATACACAACTGCATTCGTTTTTACACCTTTCTCACAAAAATGTACCTCTGTTAAGCCCCAATAAGAAACTCCCAACCATACCATGAGCGAGGATGGAAAATGACCTCGTTGGACACGCGGAATACGGTTGCTCGCTTCTTCACTACTGTGTGCGTACACCTTATCATTTTGTTTGTTGTAGCTCTCTTCTACGGTAAAAATTTTTTCATCCGAAAAAAGAATTTCCCGATATTTTTTTCCCGCGTACCGCTTCAACAAAGCGCGGCATCTCTTCAGTCTCAGGTCCATTAGACGAGCATTCAAACGATGTCCTGTTTTTCTTCGATATGCCCGAAGCCCTAAGTCTTCATTTAACACCCTTTTCACCGTGGTTCTGCTTAACCCCATCTGAAGGGCCAACAGTTTCTGCTTACGTTTGGGATTTCTTTGAATTCGCGCCTTCACAGCTTTTATCACTGCTGGAGTCCTAACAGACCGAGGGCGACCACTTCTTGACCTGTCATCTACACTAGAGTCTTCATTGTATCGTTTGATGGTACGATAAACGAATCTTTTGGTTATATTCAAATTTTTCAGTATGTTAAAAATTTGAATTGGCGCGTAACCGCAACGATGCAACGCAATAACTGCAACACGGTCTTCTTTAAGCGTCCACTCCATATTTACATTGAACAATTCGAAATTCGAATTCAATAAACTTTTTTGTGGCCAGCATTCTAAAAGAAAAGTTTTTACTGTGTGACAATACTTATGACCTGACTAGGTATAAAATGCTGGGTGACCACTACATCAAAACATTTATAGTGGGTAGATAGATCGATTTATCGCTCCCGAAATCCCCTGTATACTAAATTTTATGAAAATCGTTGGGAGCCCTTTCCGAGATTCAGATTATATATTTATATACAAGAATTGCTCGTTTAAAGATATAAGATATCAGTACTTTACGGTACGCTGGGTCAGGAACGCTCCGTTCGTACAAAATATCATAAGCACGCGATTAATCCTTGCATAACTAACCGCTATGTATACACCTTGAACTCATATCTTACCTATATATCGTTGGTTTCAAAAAATGTATATATTTTTAAAAATCGATTGGCGTATGTGTGTAAACTTCCTATAGACTTCGAAACAGCTGGACCGATTTCGATGAAAGTTACAGGGAATCTTATTGGCCTAACAGATAATTCTGGGAAATTTGGCAGCAATCTATTCAAAGTAAAACTAAATATCGAGGGCCGCGTTTGATTAACTATTCAATCTCTTACACACTTCATTGATTTAGATTACGTTTGAAGAAACTATTTTTACGCAATATCTTGTTTTGATAGACTTGAATGTTAAAAAAGCGAATGTATTATGAAAGATATTTTGTTCTGTTGCTAAACAGACAGCGGAGCTGACGGCTCATTAACTTATGTTCGCATTACCAAACTAAGAACACAAAAGAATTTATCTGTGAGACTAATATAGACAGAGCCGAAAAGTTTTGTAGATATCAACTTGGAGATTTTCTTGGGGCTCTCTCAGGAGACTTCGATACTGGAGAGCGTAGATATGATGGGTAGATAAATAGGATAAATGAAAAAACATCCTCTTTTGTAACTCCTGTAGTAAGATGATATAGATTGGATGTGGTCTCGTTTGAACTAAGCCGACTATCTATTACGTCATATCAGCTGACCATCAGCTCACGGTCCGCCTGGCGTGAAGTGGTTTCTGAAGTCTATCCTGGAGAATGTGGAGCAGCCACCTACATTGAGACTTGAAATCTATGTCTCGATTGTTTTTTTTTTTTCTTAGATTGGTAGACTAGCTCACAACCCACCTGGTGTTAAGTGGTTACTGGAGCCCATAGACATCTACAGCGTAAATGCGCCACCTACCTTGAGATATAAGTTCTAAGGTCTCAGTATAGTTTTTTAGTCATAATTGCGAGAGCACAGTAGTGCTCTGCAATAATCCTTAATCAGCTTTCACTGCACATCAGCGCTATGACGTACCATTCGGCGATTCTGTTCAGCGCAGCGGTAGGAATTGCGTAAAAACGAGTTGTTACAACACGAAAGGCGCGGAATCCGTCTGCGTTCGTAACTCACTATTTTTTTCAGTGGTTTCTAAAGGATTCCTAAAGAACGAATCGTAAAATTTTAAACGATGTACATAAGTCTAAATGAAAAGATCATTTTTAAATGTTTTGCGGAGGTAATTGAGTTCTATGTTCGTTGCATGTCACGTAGTAAATGTAAACACACTCAAATTTCGAATTGAATTAAACAATATAAGAGTTTATGAACACTCTAATATATAATAATAAAATAAAATGCAAAAAACCTAGTTGCTGGAAGCATTTTTAAATGTTTAAATCATAATTTACTTTATGGAACCCACACTTAGTGTTAATAATAATAGAAAAAAAATGGTAACCATCTACCATTTTTTTTCTATTTGACGGCCACTCTGTGAAGAGACAACATTGGCTTTTTGAGATTTGTTTGGACGCTGTCTGCTGTGTGCTATGACCATTATCGTGTCGAAGTATCCATGTCACTGACAACAATTGTTTGTATGTCCCTCTTCGTCTAATACAAAAATTCACTTCTTCTTTTCGCTCATCGCCGCTCTTTTTAATTATAAAGGGGAAACCATAAAAACTAATCTGAGAATAAAATTCATAGAAAACGGCAAAATGCATAATGTTATACTCAAGATATGATATTGAATTTCTATTTTGGAACATTAATCAGATTATTGTTATTAGTTTTCCACTCTGCCAGCTACTGGGTTTTATTTTGTTTTATTAGATTATTCATAAATAAATTCTTATATTATGTAATTCATCTACAAATTTGAGTGTGTTATACTACGAATTGCAGCTACAATATTGGCCTTATACTACTAGGGACTAGCTATATAGTATCTATTGTACCTAAGTAAAAGTAATAATAAGTCCACCGCTGTATTACTTCATATCAAAATCTTTTTACATAAAAACCTAAAATCGTATCAAGATATTCACAACGGGTACTAAAACTAACTATGTACATAGATGTGATTCTAGAATTTTCCAAACATGGTTAAGGTCGAGTACTGAATTTCGCACGTCGAATGAAATAACGGCCAAGTCAATAGCAATACACGAATATTGAGATTGTGAAGGTCACGCGCTGTACGAAGTGAAATCCGAGTGACCCACTATCGATCACTATCGACCTCATGTGCACTTACAACGGTTTAGTGACACGGCTGAGACTAACTAAACATTTGTCGGTAAATATAGTTGTGTAGATATTGCTAATTCATCTGTTTTTTTATTGCTTAGATGGTTGGACGATCTCAGCGCCCATCTGGTGTTAAGTGGCTACCGGTGCCCCTAGGCATCAACTACGTAAATACCGCCACCTACCTTAAAACATAAGATCTAAGTATCTGTTCTGAAGTATAACGCACAACGGCTGCCTTATCCATGAAACCGAACTGTATTACTGCTTCAACGCAGAAATGCTTTGACAATGTCTTGTAATCTCCTCATATGGTTTAGGAACTGTTCACATCAGAATTGCTTCTCCAATCTCAGTCGGGTTGTCTTTGAATTATTTATTGGGACGAGATAAGAGAACGAATCCAGTAACCATTTGTATTTACGTTCCATAAAAGACCTAATTTTTTGGGTATTAAGTAATATATTACGAGACTGCTGTAATCTTGTATTACTATATTACATAAATCTAAACAAAGCCAATAAGTACTAGGTAAATGGATAAATATCAATATACACTCACCTTAAATTAGCCAGTTCTGAACAAGAATTGGCCAGTAAATAATCTCCACTGAGTAGAGCAATTTTATTTCCGAACATCATATCATCAGGTTCTTCAGTTATGGAAGCCCGCTGTCTCGCATTCATGTTGACAAGACCTTTGTGCACCAAATGCGAGGTCCGGATCATCTCGGTGACTTCGGCTAAGGCACGCTGACTGTAAATACTCTTAAAAATTAAATTCACGTAGACGTATAACTAAAGTCTTTTTTTGGGGGTAGGTGTCAAAAGTGAAACAAGTGCTTTAAGTTTGAAAATTAAAATTAATTCATTTTATTTACATTATAAAGATTTTGTGATCCTTTTGTGTGTCATTAAGTATATATATGCATTTTGGCAATATTTACATGATTTAAGCCAATAAAAATACCACCTGCCAGCACCCCTTGAAACAGAAACATAACTATGTCGCAANTGTATGTATGTATATGTATATGTGATTTTGTATATATGTAGATATACTTTTTTGTATGTATTCGTTACCTAATATAAATTTCATTGCACCTACCACTATTTACTCTGCACTACCTTTGGTTGACTGGTAGAGAATGCCTTAGGCATTAAGTCCGCCAATGTAAATTTTACATGAAGTGTAATAAATAAATAAATAAAATAAATAAAGTCACGTAATATTGGGTGTTAAAATAAATCTTCCGGTATTCGGCAACACCGTCTCATTGTGACCCCGGCTTAGGACTCATTTCGATTCTGGATATTATGAATCACGTACTTGGACCAAGATGTCTATCGGTCTTATCTTCAAACGGCATTTGAAAATATGTACTGCGGTTGGTGTTTGAAGGTGAGTTGTAGCGGACAGAGTATGTAATGGCATAAAATACTTCAAGAGTCCAAGGCTCGAGCCTATTATTTGCCCACCAAGTTATATTTTTAAGGTTGGGCCTATATATGTAAGTGTTTAGATACTGTATCATACATTACAAAAAAATATATATAGAATTTCGAAAATAAATAGCTGTAGCACTGGAAAGGGGTGTGATAATTTATCGAATATTAATTTTATTACATTATCAAAACGAAACACATAGTAGTCATATCAATGGGTATACCATTATTTTAACAGGACTTGAATTTATACATAATATGTTTACTTTTTTCATTTTTTATATTATTTTTTATTTTTATTCTTTTACGGTGTAAAGTCGCGTTTTTTACTGCTGTTATTCCAACGTTTTGAATACTTTACAGTTTTCGTGGTCATAGACGATTATGTTTCATCGGATCATATGATCCGAATGCATCCATTAGACCTACAGTACTTCGTAAACAATTTTTTTCAAAACATAAATTAAGAGTTGCGAGTATCCATTCTTAAATATAATCGATGAAGCAAAATGCCATAAGAAGCATTAACTTAAGGCCATAAGGGTCAAATTAATTAAATTTCGGTAGGCATCTTATGTTTCCGGGTAGTGTGTGCACACTCGGAAGACAATGCCTCGTAGAATCAGGAAAACGAAAACTTGCAGAACGACTTTCGAAAGTTCGTGACATTTACATAGTGCTCTTTTCTGGCTTGTAAGTACGTTCGACGTCACGAGTGCAATATCGCAGAAGAGAAACTGCTGCTTAATAACACTGTACAGTTGGATGTTTGTGAAGCAATGGATGTGACGAATGGATGTAATGAATCATTAATTACTATTGTTACTTTTTATCCCAATCTCAGTAGATTAGAAAATATTCAAATAGGCTATAGTGGAACTGAGTAAATTAGCAGACCGACAACAATACAGCTACCACAATTATCCATTTTTATTTTTAATTGCTTCGATGGGTTTGCAAGCTCATAGCCCACCTGGTATTAAGTGGTTATCGGAGCCCTTATACTTCTACAAGGTAAATGCCACCATCCACCTGGAGACATGAGTTCCAAGTCTCAGTTTTTACCGGACTGAAACGCATTACTGCTTCACGGCATAAACAGGTAAGTTGGTGGTACCTACCCATGCGGACTCACAAGACGTCCTACTACGAGTAATTGCGCAAATTATAATTTTACGGGTTTGATTTTTATTACACGTTGTTATTCCTTCACCTTGGAAGTCAATCGTGAAAATTTGTTAAGGACGTATTTCATTGTGAAAATTTGTACCTGCCAGCGGGATTGGAACACCGTTGCATCGCTAGATACGAATGCACCGGACGTCTTATCCTTTAGGCCACGACTACCTTATGACGACGTATTTAGGTAAAAATTGCTAGGACCTATCACTTGAACAGTGCAGTCTGTATCATGAGAAGTGTTGTCACAATTAATTTCGCATATCTTTCCGGTGACCATGTTTCTGGGAGAAAAGTAACGAAATAAGCTACTCGTGAAGTATTGATTACTTAAGTACTTAAATATTGTTTCGGATCATAATAAATAAAACAAAATGACGTATTTTTATGTGAAGAAGACATACGAGAATGCACGTTTTGTATTAGTCGACAGCGAATTTATATGTTTTTTTTTTAAGTTTCGCTGAGTCGTCATTGCCAAATTATTTTAAAGACTAATCTCATACTTTACTCATTTTCTCCCTTATCTTCAATGTAAATTCTTAACCTTAGTAGTATTTCATCACGCATATACCATGTAGTATTCGAAATATCGGATATAACAAATATGATCCATAATTGTTCTTTACATTATTACTTGTGGGAGAATTTTTTTTTGGATAGGAAGTAAGGCTTGAATACAATGACCAGTTTATGTATCGTATGCACCAGAAAAGAGGACACCTGGCTGAGAACAAGATCTTGATCCAAAAACAATTTTTTGATTCATTATTCTTACAATATGCTACAATCCAAATACAATATTTTAACTCACAACCATATTTTTGATGAATAACAAGTATCTATTAGTAATTGCCACATGGTGCCTATATTTTTAATAATGTGACTGCTCTGGTACTCAAAACACATAGAAAACTAGTCTTAAATAGCAACAGCAGAAACACAACATGCATTAGTATTATTCAATAAAGTCCTTAACTTTTCAAGTTCACCAGATAATCGTCAAACCTCCCCACAAGAACAAAATAATACGTTTTAACTTTGTTTACAAATTCAGCCTGCTTTTATATCTATTCATATGAACATTACATTACTGCTCCTGTCCTGGTGAAACTGGAAAGGCCTTAGGGCCACCAGTAATCATACAATCATAAAAAAAAAACACTGCTCAAACTGATAAATCAATATAGGATCCTATCTAATCTATTATCCTCTAGTTACTATAAACTCAGGGAGCAATTTAAACCAAACAATGTTTAACAATATATGCTTATAGAGCACACAATCACAAAATCCCTATTTTATGCAAAGGTATCCAGAATCAAAATAGTCTCCTGAAAGAGATGATATATTATGAATTAACAGAACTCACCTATGTAATACTCCTGCAGCCTTATCCTGCTCCATGTCGGGTATCTTTGGACTGTGACCAGCAGCTTTAGACACCAGCAAGACAATGAGACCCCATGCTTGCATATTATTCTTACCATTGTAAATTAGATTTCTGTATGAAAGTAAATAGAAACAATTAGAACAACTCCAAAAAATGATCACATCTTGCCTTACTTGATTACTAGATATAACATAATTCAATTAAATTCTTCATGTTTTAAATTAATTGTGCTAAAATTTAAGGGTTCATTTTAATTAATTTATTCCTTTCGAAAATTATGAATTATTCATTGGAATTATATTTATTTTACTACAAAAAACATATCCCATTTTTAACAAAAATAGTTTTCGTTTAAATCTAATTGTACTGGAATTACTACGCTGTACTCACTTGGCAGTTTTCAGTAAAGGATGATTACTGCCAACTAGTTTGCGTAGATGAAGCGCAACATTCGCAATCTCATCGCTCAAGATCCACCTTAAGCTCAGGAAGGATGTGGGATAGCCAACAATCTTCTCGGCTTCGCTAACAGCTCTGTTCCAATCCGGCTTGGAGTGATGTTGGGCAACACTACCTCTCTGAGTGCTATTTGTGCTTAGTTCCTTCGCGCAAGGTCCCCCAAGTTTCGCAATGAATGCGCTTGATGAGGAAACTTTCACCAAATCACATCTCACAGCACACCTCAAATGACACAATCTACTGAAACTCATTTTTCTGAATGCTTAAAATTTGATTATAAACTTTAGTTTAATTTAAACAAAAAAATATTTTTTGAATAATTTCGAAATCTTTAATTTGTTTTAGTTTTACGTATATTAATTTTCAATTAAGATTTCCCGTTTTATTTTACTATTTTTAATAATTAATATCACAAATTTTGTGCAAGACTACACAAATCAGATATTATGTTTCGAAATCAATTTTCAAACTTATTTTACGTGCAAAGTTCCCGCGGTAAATTTCACGACTACATAGATAGATAACGAATTTTTTAAGTTTTTAATTCACTTCACTCAACAATAGAGGTGGCGGATGAAATCAATTATTTGAAGAATCGATTCTTTCCAGCAAAAATCTCGATGTGTAAACCGAAAAAATCAGTGAATCGATCCAGTAAATTAATCTCATATAATGGCGATGGCGATCATTTTTAGTCTGTTTTAATATTATTACAACCGCAAAACAATCTCCAACTAAAAATAGATTCAAACAATTACTTTAAAATACATTTTTATCTAATTAGTTACAAACTCGCTGAATAAATAAATAGACGCGACTTATTTCTTTTAATCTTTATTCTTTATTGTACACACAGTTAATATTACAGTAATTGCGATCAAATATAAAAATGGCGAGCTTAACTCAACAATTGAGTTTACCAGCTAACCGTTCTTAAAGAAGGAAAGCTTTACATGAGTGGGTAGAAGAGTACAATCTAATCAATTTACTTATTGATACAATACACAATAACAATAATAAAAAAAACACTAATACATAATATATCAGACTATATACATACACCATTACACACATAAATAACATATACCTACATACACGTACATATATAATGAAATACATAAAATAAATACATATAAGTAACACTAAATTGATAGATAGTGTTCCTTTATTGCCTTCCTGAATACTTCAAGTGAGGGACTTGCCCGGATTGAGTGTGGAATTGAGTTCCACAGACGCACAGAGTGCACAGTGAACGAACCGCCGCGCCGTAGCGGCTAGAGGAGTGAGGAGGAAAATTAAGGAGAAGGGATCTACTTATACGACAGGGTACACCACGGAGCATTTGGTACTCGAAGCGCTCACGGAGGTACTGGGGAACAGCTGGGTTATTGGGGATGTTGAACAGCATACATAAAACATGTACATTAATTACGGCGAAGACGGATAGGCAACCAATTAAGTTGTGATCTGTACTGCGAGACATGATCATATTTGCCTAAACCAAAAATAAAGCGTATGCATACATTTTGTAACCTTTCCAGTTTGTTCCATAGCCCCTCCGTGGCGTCCAGGAAGCAAACATCCGCATAGTCAAGGAGAGGAAGCATAAGGGATTGGGCCAGGGTGACTTTAGCTTCAAAGGGCAAGAAACGCTGAAGACGCTTGAGAGACTGAAACGTGCAATGCACTTTCCTGCTAACTAAATTTATCTGACTGGACCAAGAGAGATGACAATCAAGAACGATACCTAGGTTTTTTGCTGTTTTAAAATAAGCGATTGGGATTCCATCTAGCGTCACAGGGGCAAATTAATGTGGTCAATCGTGTTGTACCTATAGGAACTACCAATTACTATGACCTGTAATTTTGATGGATTCACAAGAAGTCCAAAAGATTTAGCCCAAGCACTAATTCTACCGAGATCTCCATTGATTTCAGCAATAGCTAGTGCAACATCATCAGCTTTAAAATGTTTATAAATCTGCAAATCGTCAGCGTAGAGATGGTAGTGAGAAGTCAACACCTGAGCGATTTCATTAATGAAAATAGAGAAAAGGAAAGAAGATGGATGGATGGATTACTGGTGGTAGGACGTCTTGTGAGTCCGCGCGGGTAGGTACCACCACCCTGCCTATTTCTGCCGTGAAGCAGTAGTGCATTTCGGTTTGAAGGGTGGGGCAGCCGCTGTAACTATATTTGAGACCTTAGAACTTATATCTCAAGGTGGGTGGCGCATTTACGTTGTAGATGTCTATGGGCTCCAGTAACCACTTAACACCAGGTGGGCTGTGAGCTCGTCCAGACATCTAAGCAATAAAAAATAAAAAAAAGATAGTACGCCACCTTGAGGTACATCCGCGGCTAAATCACACCATTTTGAATTAGCATCGCACGCTCAGTAGACATCATAAAAGTAGGTGGTATTGAATGGCCCCAAGCGGCACAGAATGGAGAACACTGGTCATCTCTGGAGGCCTTTACCTTCCATTGAGAGGGTTTTTTCTAACAAAACTATAATTATATATATATATATTGAATTATACCAAGACGTACAAGCAAGATATAAAAGGCTTTTTTATATTTTTTTATTTATGTATTCTTATATATAATATCATAAATATAACTTGACAGTAACTATGAAAATGCATAATGCATTGCAAAACGAAAAAGAGCCAGAAAGTGTCTTCTCGGTTTCATCCAAAATATCCCTTGACATTTCAGTAAAATCCTTCCAGATAATTAATACGATTTCTCATTTTAGTTTATCTCATCGCGTTTCACTCTTTTCAATTTTATATAATTTCATCCAATTATCATTTTCACATAAATCAATTTAAGTTCATTCCGCATTTTTTCACATTTTATAGAACAAATTACAATAGCAAGTACATTGTAGTAAAATAATAAACGAAGATATGTTTAAAATCGACGTTAAGAATACTGGTTTTGTAAAATCTAACTGTTAAAATGAAAACCAGTTGGAAAAGCAACGTGATGTTATTTTCAAATCGATTTTTTAGAGATGGAACGACAAAGACTCGATTTTACAATATGAAAATTTAGTACTATAGTCTGTGGCCACTGGCATATTATCTATTCTGTGTTGACAACTTTGACAAGAATAAAGACAGGGTTCACATTTCACCAAAAATACTGTAACAGTAAATCGCGCAGCGCTGGTTGGTGTAGTCGTCTGTAGAAAGGTCACTACATGTAACCGGTGGATTGTGGTTTTAGTGTCTCATTTCACAACTTAATACTTACTCTGCAAATCTAGTATTAAAATACAAAAAACCTTACCTGTGAAAGTGAAAACGTTGCTTAGTGCTATTTTCGAGTTACGCTTTATTATTTTATCGAACTTACTTTGAGGTGAGGTTTTTTTACATTTTTGTGTAATTTATATTACCCGATAAATCTGACAAGACAACTATTTTGGAAAATAATTTGTAATTTGCGCACATGTAATGCTTAAAACCATAGCTCAAGAGCATGTCCTTCAATAAATGATAATTATGCTTTTGGAAAACAATTCTCAATAGTACATCTCAACAAACATTTAAATAAAATGTTGTATAAAATCATAATTATATATTAATTAAATTAAACACAACCGGTAAATGATCAGGATACCCCAGCCTAATTTTCCTGCCCCAAATTTTCACAATGATTTCATTGCACGTTTTTGTGGTAAGCAAGTAGTTCACGTTATATAGGTACATTAAATTTTTACAAATTACAAACAATTACATTAAATTTCAATAGCATTACGTTATTCAATTTCAGTTTTTTTTATCATAAAACAATTGGAAACAACTACCTACTTAAAATAAATGAAAATAAAATGTTATTTTCCACTTACTGAATTTTAGTTGTTGTCTAAGAGGTTATTCACAGATTAGATGTAAAAACGGCATGGTTTTACTGTTATACCCTTTTTACTGAACCACAGTTGAGAGAGTGTTCATTTTCTCAAAAATATTTGATGTCTAGAATTTATTTATACTTGTCAATAAAATAATTGGGGACTTTTTAATTAGAACCATTTGAAAGTGGAACATAACTGTGTCCAGATGAAATCACAAACACCTAATCCTGTTCTTAAATTATAAACTCATAAAATAGATTTACAACATGTCCTCAATCATTGTGGTACTAAACAAACTAATTGGATTAACAAACAATAATGACAGTGATAAATGAATGTAGTATGGCTGCTGAAAATTTTTCTGCAATTCTTTTTCTAAATTGAGATAATCTTCAAATTGAAATGTGAATTAAAAGTGAAAGAAATGTAATACATACTTAGGTTATGAGAAAAAATTTACATATTTAATTTTTAAATTAGTTATAGATAATAATATAATTTAAAATCTTAGTTTATTGTATGTACTTTCTGTTCATGGAGGATAAAAATTACAATACCTATATACATTCAACAAAAGGAAAAAAATAGTTGATAGTAATTATAAAAATAAATTTCTACAATTTTTATTCCATTTAGATTTGAACTCAGCAAGCTGCCACTTACAATATTGTATTTCCATATTCTTAAAACTAGTATGTATGACATCTTTGAATCAGTTAATGGCAGTTTAATGGTACCTGTCTGATTTTTATTTTCCATCGCATAAATGAAAGATTGAACTCATGGACCATCTGGTGTTATGTTTTTACTGAAATCTACAGACATCATAATGTTTATGCTGCTTCACACACTAAGACTTCAGGAGAAAGTGTTCCTTTTTCTCCCCTACCTAATTGTTAGTAGCCTAAGGGGCTACCAACAATTAGTAGCCTAAGGGGCTACCAACAATTATGGCTATTCCAACTTCACAAGGACCGTAAGTGAGCTCACGGGCTCAACCTGAGAGAATTTCTAATACTAGCCCTGGCAGGTTTTGCAGAATCGCGACCCAGAAAAGTTCTGGAGAGAAACTCAGTGGGTTGTCTATATGCACAAGTTCACACGCCGAATACTTCATTGTAGTCAACAAGTTCTATGACAATATTGCCCAGGGCTTAAAGAGCCTAAAAAATTGTTATTATGTATTTGTGTATACTTAGTCTGGCCATAAATACTGTTACAATTAAAAATAAACAAAATATTACATATTTGAATTTGGAATCTGTCATTTTTATATGATTGCTCATTGAGTTTTCTCATTTCGGCGCCAATACATTGTACAATATTTTGCGATATTAAAATGGAATGGGGTGATAAAGAGAACCGAATCGCTGTGATTGCATTACACAAAGTAGGTATGGAGCCAAATGCATATTTTAAAACTCTCCATAAGCTTGGTATTAGTAAAATGTTTGTGTACCGGGCTATTAATAGGTGCAATGAGACCTCTTCTGTTTGTGACAGAAAAAGATCTGGCCGTCCACGTAGTGTTCGTACGAAAAAGGTGGTCAAAGCAGTAAGGGAAAGATTAATTCGAAGAAATCCTGTCCAAAAGCAAAAGATTTTATCTCGGGAGGTGAAGATAGCACCTAGAACCATGTCGCGTATTTTAAAAGATGACTTAGGACTTGCAGCCTATAAGAGACGTACAGTCCCTGTGTTCATACATTGCTTGACACAAGTACACCAGGCATTATATCTTTTGGGCCACTTTTTGCAGAATTCCATCTAGTATATTAACTAAAACATACAATATTGTATATTCACATTCTAAAACAAGTGTTAACATCCAAAATTAGTTAAGATCAAAGTAAATAATCTTACATTTTACAGTTTAATAGTGGAGTCATTATTTGTCATACGCTTTTGTTATAAGTACATACAAGTTTGACAAGTTTACAACTGGAATATTTGGTATATTAATGCTGGGTGTCATTGAACTAGTCTTAGTTTTATTAAATAGCTACGCCGAATAAATCATGCACTGCGAGAACAGCAAAACAAAATAACATCTCTATAATCCATTATTGATGTTGATACAACTTTATTCTGTCAAACGTTTCCAAAATTTAATTTTTACGGTAGTAATAGGGTTAAAGTATGAAATTGCCGTTTTATTGTAATAGGTACTTCGAATTGACATAGAACCTCCATGGTTTGAGATTTTCGAGTGAAACTTTTTTCAAATGGTACCTATGAGGTTCTTCTTTTAAAAAATGTGCAACATTCGATTATCGACTTTGTTGTTTTTTTTATTCAGCTTATTTAGACAAGTAAGATGGTTAGACAAGAAACTAACGCTGAAGAAACAGCTCGCAATATCAACGTTACGTTAGGATGGGACTGCTAATGAATGCACCGTGCGATTTTGGTTTAAACGCTTTCGTGATGGAAATTTTGATTTGAAGAACGAACCACGTGGAAGACCATGCACACATGAATAACAATGAATTGAAAGAGATGGTGGAAGCCCATCTGAGCCAAACTACCCAGAAATTTGCGGCTATGGTTTAACGTTACCTTATCAACAATATTGACTCATTTGCGTCAAATCAATAAAATAAGAAAATAAGAAAAATGGGTGCCTCATGATTTGACTGCTCTGCAGAAAGAAACGCGTGTTGAAACTTGTTTTGCCTTGTTAAATCGATACAGAAATGAAGGAATATTGGATCGAATTGTGACATGTGATGAAAAGTGGATTTTTTACGATAACCGTAAGCGAAAAATGCAGTGGCTGACCCCAGGCCAAACGCCGCAACAGTGTCCTAAAGCAAAGCTTACAAATAAAAAGGTTATGGTAACTGTTTGGTGGTCTCAGCATGGTGTTATTCACTATAGCTTTCTCCGATCTGGTCAAGCAATAACGGCAGATGTCTACTGTGCCGAACTCCGGACAATGATAGCAAACTTGCAGTGAATCATCCCCGACTCATGAATCGATCTTCACCATTATTGTTCCATGATAATGCGAGACCTCATACAGCACGAGAAACTGTTTTAACTCTACAAGAAATACAATAATTATAAACCATTCGTCACACTCCGTATTCGCCAAACCTTGCTCCAACGTACTACCATTTTTTTCTTGATTTGAACAATTTGCTACGTAATAAAAAGTTTTCTTCCCAGGAGGCAGTACAAAATGCTTTCACACAGTTTATAGAATCACATATTATAGATCACCAGAGTTCTATGGCAAAGGCATAAATAACCTTCCTATTAGATGACAGCAATGTATAGATAATAACGGTACATATTTTGATTAAATATGTTGAATGAAGAAAAAAAAAGGATTTCAATTTTTCAGTACAAATCAGCAATTTCATACTTTAACTCTATCTACCTGAGTTAAATGACAGTATAAGTATACAAATACCGGTCGAAATGCATTACGGGAAAGGGGTATTCTGGATTCTCCCACTTAGATAAAGCGGCACGACACGTGAACCCTCACATCGTGACCGCCGGTAACTACATTCCCGATCCTGCGGAAAGAATGGAAAGCAGTCGGCGTCGCCCCAAACACGTCATTTCGGATCCTCCCGATCCACTAAAGGTGCTTTTAGGGTCCTCAAGCACCGGTCATCGTTCTCATCGAACCCGTCGAGAAGGGCTCGACAATTAAGTCATAGACACAGCCAACTGAGTTTCTCGCCGGATCTTCTCAGTGGGTCGCGTTTCCGATTCTGTGGTAGATTCTGCGAAGCACGGCTCTTGCTAGGGTTCGTGTTAGCAACGTCATCAGCTTTGAGCCCAGTGAGTTCACCTACTAGTTAAGGCGACGCTGATATAGCCTCTATAGAAATAAAAAAACTGGATTCTCGTCCCTTACGTTTCTACCTGTAATACGGAAGAGCTCTAGCTTGGGGTCGTTAAATGAAAAACGGTTATTCAGTACATATTTTGTTCGGTTTTCACAAATCTATTTTTACGGTTTAATCTCGCATTGAATATTTCCAGTAATGGTATGAGGGAGGCCATTGAGATAAATAAATAAAATAAACCCAAACATTAATAGCGAAGATAATTGGCGCTTATCTAAGATCTGGGATCCCTTTATGGTGAATATGCATCCTCTCCTTGCGTCGATAATCCTCAATGCTGAGGGTCGTGGCCTCCTAGAAAAAATTCTCCTTGATTATCCTGCGCCACTCCTGCCTGTCCTCGGCTGTGTGAATATGCATACCTAAGACAAATTAAGTTAGTAAATAGCGATTGTGTGATTGATGATGTGTGATTTAACGTATTATTTTCGTTTTCTATTAGGTATGGAGTGGGAAGGGCCGCCCAAGCAAGGCTTGTACGACCCCCAGAACGAGCACGAAGCCTGCGGTGTTGGTTTTGTTGTTGCTATCGACGGAAAACGCAGTCATAAAGTAAGTACATCCAAAATTGCATAGTAATCGGCACGAGTCTAGCACTTTCGACTCTCACAACTGACGGCATGTGACGCGATGCGGGGAGATACAATCACGTAATAATTATGGACGGCGCCACCCCCGTTCTTGCCTATTTCCCCCAAACAGACCTAAAAATGAACTTCTGTGCATGTCAAGGTCAGATCTCAAGATTCGTGCCGATTACTATATATGTATAAAATAATTACAGTCTTCGTCTTCTCGTCTGTTCGGGATAGTGGTAAATTACCAGAAAATGGGTAAGGAAAACGCAGTATTGAAATAAAAAAAACGTGATGTGCGATTTCATTGTCTCCAAATTAAATTCACACTGTCTGACTACACATTATATTAAATAACAGATCTCAACTATGAATACTGTACTAGTCTGTGTTCAACCTCGTCCGCGCTCATCTCAACTATGAATACTGTACTAGTCTGTGTTCAACCTCGTCCGCGCTCTGTATCTAACATTGCAAAAGTCCTGTTTGGCTTGCGATTAAAAATTGAGGTAGAAATAGTTTTTCTTTTCGAACTATAGTCTCTTGAGCAGGTCTTAAATGCAAAATAAATTTTAAATACCACTATAACGGACGGAAGACGGGTAATATGAGCAGTAGTAGGACTTGATGGCTGAAATCGTATAGCCGGCCTTGTGATAATATCCGTACAGACTGTTAGTAATTGTAAACAAAAATGTACTTCACATTCATGAAACGCTTGATGTGTACGCTTATTCAGAAGTCTTGTTCACTAAAACGGTTACACGACTTGACAAGGACGACCATTTAACAAGATTTGTTTTGTGATGCCTACAGCACCAGTTGTGCAAACTGACAATACAATAACATACGAATCGAGCGTTACGTAACATTCCAGAAAAATCTATTTACATTGTACCACGTCCTCCCATACATTGTAACAAGCTTTGATTTTGATTTACTGCACGCGACTGAATTAGCTTATGCGCAGATCACATCTCAAATGAATCATGTACCAAAAAACGTAAAATCTGTTTAAAGAGCACGGAATGTATAGTATCTCTATAATTATATTTTATATAATTTAGCGACGTAATGTGAAATCTATTGAAGACTTCTTATGGTTTTATCGCCGCCTTTGCTTATTGTTAACAAACCGACCCAGAAAAGTGGTGGATTTTGCTCTAATGATGGATTCGGTTATTGATTTTAAATAGGAGATGATAGGATCAAACAATTTATCAGAGTGAAACAAATTGTACAAAACATTGTGAAAGACCTTCCTACCAACCTAGACCCACAGGTTGGGAGAGCCTTTAGAGTAATTGAAAATAATTGAGATATAATATGTTACTGTAGAACAAATTTTAAGGTAGCTATTTAGCGAAGTTTGCTCTATGTTAAATGACATTTTATAATTAGATTGTTCGAGATGCTGAAGTTCTGGCTAAACGTATGGAGCACCGCGGTGCCTGCGCGTGCGACAATGATACCGGTGATGGCGCCGGTGTACTGACCGCTATCCCTCATCAATTCTACTGTGCTCAACTAAGGTAGGTCCTTGAATTTCTTTTCGATTTTCACAATAAAAACTACACATGTAATACATATAGGTAACAGTAACATTTAATACATATAATGTATTATTTTATTCACATCAAAATAAAGTTTAACCTGGTAAAACTATAGCACAAACTGAGTTTCTCTATAAAAAGTAACAACGTTTAAAGCTATTGCTTCACCAGTTTTTATGTTTTTATGTTTCAATATTCAAAAATACAATTTAATACATTTCTAATGTTCCTTCTGCTAATGTTTCAATATTCAAATTAACATTTATGTCACCTGTATAACATATTAACCTCTTTTAAGATTTATGTCATAAATCATATAGAGGTTACATACATACAACATTACGGTTAAAATTCGCATGTTGTACTGTCATTATAATAATATGTATTATTATATTACTAGTGGTTCTCCAGTAGTCGAAATTCGACTATAATTAATTGAAATTATAAGCTTGAACATTATTATGGTTCTATTGTCAAATACTATGTAATAAACCTCTATAATCACAGATTTCGCCAAGGCTACACTATAGACAAACAATATTAATCTATTCTCAATTAGACCACAGACTTTAGCAATAAAAAAAGAGTATATGCGTGTGTCAAATATATGGTAGTGTTTGTAATGTTTTTTAATTGATTTAAAAAAAAAATTAGCATTCTGCACTCCTCGTCTATATCAACTATAAGTGTGGGAAATTTCATACTCTTCCGTCCGCGCAATTTTCATAAAAAAGGGTATAAAGTTTTTGCTTCACCAATTAATATATAGATTCTCGACGCTTCGAAAACAGTTTTCGTGGTCACGAACGACTAAGGGGTTATTCGTCGACATTTGAATATTGTAATAACCAACGTCGTATTTTTCTAAAAAAAATAATACTCAAAAATTTTTACAATGAAATAGAGGTTTTAATTATGTCTCTGCATCTTTCTTTACAAAAACTCTTGCACCAGAAAAATAAATACAATATACCTACCTACTCTAGTGGGAATAATTGTAAAAGTTGTTGATTTTTTTTCTTGTCATCAGTTATTCCTTGGGCTAAAATCGATTCATGGCATTCAGTCAAGTTCAACGTCTCACATCGGAAATGTGTGTTGTAAACAAAACCATTATCCATTGTACTGTACAAACAGCGAATAGCTGGAATTCATTGTATTAGATTCTGTACTTTGTTATGTATGAGGAAAGAATTCACTTATCAGTATTCACACTCCATCATAATAACATGCTCATGATGATTATGCTCTAAAACATCCTTTAACGTTTATTTTATATCATGGAAAATAATGTCTCTTGAAGGCTTAATCAGCGACAACATTTTTTTATTTACTAATAATTTAAGTTCATTTATGTTACAACAAAAGTATATTAAGAGAGAACAGATAAGAGAAATGGTGTATTTCCTCGTTGTTTTTATATGAAGTCGAGGAAAAAGAATTCGTAGTCGATTTTAATGTTGGTTGAAATTTTATGCGATAGGAAAGGTTTTGTTCAGTTTTAGTTTAGTTTTTCTTTAGTTTAGTTCAGCATCATGATTTCATGAAACTGCTTATTAGTCCTAAAAACGAAATTTGATACTAATTGGAAATTGTACCTAATCGTTCACGTTTTATGATTTATGTCAAAAAATTGTCTCTTGTCTGGCGTGTTGCCAAGTTCGGGTAAAAATGATTCACGCAACCTCGCTTTTGGAACTGTTCCAAAGGGTCGGGGTTAGCTACTGAAAAACAATACATATTTTTTTTAAGAAATCTAGGCTTCTTTTGACATATTTCTCTTTTTTGTTCAAAAGTGTATTCACGAAGAGCTCTAGAATAAATTAAAAAAAAGATGGAGCGGAATGTCAACTACCGTTCATTTTTGTAAATTGAATTTCATCAAAACACAAAAACAACAACTTTCTAAAAGATTTACTCGAATAATGATGTTTTTATTCTATACTAGCTGACCCGGCAGACTTCGTTAGTGCTTCAATCAATAAATAAAAGACCTAAACTTTTGTATAAAATAAACTTAAAACAAACAAAAGGAATCCGTCTGACGGGGGTACACATCAAAGGAAAAACAAAATTGTTTTTTTTTATTTAATTCCGAGATTTTTAGAGATTTCCGAAATTTAAAAGGTAGATAAATATATTATCTACCTTTTAAACTTTCTCTGGACTTCCACAAATAATTCAAGACCAAAATTAGCCAAATCGGTCCAGCCGCTCTCGAGTTTTAGCGAGACTGACGAACAGCAATTCATTTATATATAGATTTTTTCTTCTTTATAATGAATGGTACTCGATTCATCCGTGACCCAATGATCTAAACGATTGCCGACAAGTAGATAATTGCACCTTTGAAACGGGGGAGCTCCAGACGCAAATACTGCGCAGTTTGATGCGTCTGATATTTGTTTGGCCTTTGGACTGGTACACGAAATATAACTATGGATTTATCTACTTAAACATTTAGATAACATGTTTCAGAAGCGACTCATGAGGTTGAAACAATTTTTTTTTGTTCAGTAACATCTTAGTAGATCCTAATTAAAGCTGTTGCACGCTATATATAGTACAAGACTGTTGCGACAATTGACCATGCTTTTTGGATGCTCAAATCAGCGAGCTTATTGAATGGCTAAAGAAAAATAAAATACTAAATATGTTAAATCATATTTTGACTGTGTTGATTTGTGATATAGTATATTACGTCAAGTCTTGCATGGTAAGAAGCAATTTTGTGGAAATGCCAATTAGGTCGTCAGCTTTACGAGAGTTAGAAACGTAGATGCGACGTAAACAACAGCAATGAATTTTGCGTTGACAATCAATTATTTGATTAAATATCGCGATGTTAAGTAATCTGTGATTTGCCTTGCGAAATCTGGTAGGTCGTCTTGTGAGTCCGCACGGGTATGTACCACCACCCTGCCTATTTCTGCCGTGACGCAGTAATGCGTTTCGGTTTGAAGGGTGGGACAGCCGTTGTACTGTAAAAACTAAGATTTTAGAACTCATGTCTCGAGGTGGGTGGCGGCATTTACGTTGTTGTGTCTATGGGCTCCGGTAACAACTTAACACCGGGTGGGCCGCGAGCTCGCCCACCTATTTAAAGTTTAAATAATAAATTACAAAATCTGTCTAACATTCAAGTTGGTAATTAATTTTATGGTCTGTAAGGAATATTAATTCATGAATGTAGCGAGAAATGGTAGATCCTTCTTCTAAATATGCAACAAATCGTGTTAGAACATTCTCAAACGGAGTGCATATGTATGTACGTCCAACGACATGCACCCGAGCTTATAGGCCGTAACGGTGTGTAACTAATTTTCTCGCCCTTGGAGAGTGGCAATAACATGTTATGATGAAACAAAGGCACATTATGATATAAGATAAAACCTGAAAATAGGCCTATTTGTGTGACAGACCTCATTTGCAAAGATTTAAGATATTTTTTTTATTGCCGTATAGGCAGACGAGCATACGGCCCACCTGATGGTGAGTGGTTACCGTCGCTCATGGACGTCAGCAATGCCAGGGGCAGAGCCAAGCCGCTGCCTACCGTTTAATACTCTCCACAAGCCTCGTTTGAAGAAGGACAACTCTATGGTTAATAATGTTGAATTATTTTTTTGGTTGGATACATCCGGTGCGCTTAAGTTAAGAAAGAAAAACGGTACCATGGAATTACGAATTTGAATAGTAATAATTTCATAAATTCCTAAAATTCGTTAATAGATCGTTAATAGTGACTGATATGCGCGGAATGCTTTTGGCTTAGTCTTTTAAGTTTATAACGCAATTATTGTTTAATAGAATAATAAATTTGAATATTCGAGAATAATATCTAAAGAATGTAGTATTTTGAAAATATACTAGTTGAACTCGACTCTTTCAACACTCTATAAGTCTAAATCGAGTGTAAATCTATGGTTGATTTTATAGCGGCAATCTGTAGCTAGTACGTTTTATGTATCGGATTCGTTCCGTGCGATGAAATGACCTCAAACGATGTCAAGGCTGTTCAATATATTTGTAGTAGAGCATACTTCTTGAATTATTTTAGTCTATACGTCTATACGCTCAATTAGGGTCGTGTCGTTAGTACTGTAATATTATTCTTGTCGAAATTATTTTCGATCGTATTTAGTATTCCATCGGAATTCTTTGTAAGGCAAATCCCTTGTCTTATCAAGTCTAATAGATTTTAGTCTTGTTTGCAATACCTATTAAATTAATACTACTTTACTGCCCAATTAGAACGTTAACAGATTTGTGTTTTATTTATTGAAGTGAAAAGAGGAAATTGTTAATAATTTCGAGCAAGACTTCAAGAGTCTTCAGCAGTAGGCAGCGGCTTGGTTTTTTAGCATTGCCTATTTCTCTACTATTCTGTATAAACTAAATTATAATTTAATACATATTTATTTTCTACACATGCCAAAATATTTTTAAATTATAATATTATTTATTGTAAAAACCAATATTCCATTATTTAATTTAGATTACAATAATTACTTATATTAATACATCACTAATATTTTCCCTGGAGCGAAAATGTTATGTAATTAATTTGAAATATGTTCTCAAATTCATACGTTTTACAGTATGAAGTTCTTTCTGTGTTCATTTATTTGACATTTTGTATACATTTATAACAAAGTAGCTTTTTGTTTCGTTTGTTTCTATTCTACTTCATGATTGTCTTAAAACAGTCGCTATGACATGTCCTTCTTCAAACGAGGCTTGTGGAGAGTATTAAGCGGTAGGCAGCGACTTGGTTCTGCCCTTGGTATTGCTGAAGTCCATGGGCGACTGTAACTACTCACCATCAAGTGGGCCATATAATCGTGTGCCTACAAGGGCAATAAAAAAAGTCTCATAGTACATAGTTATTTTGAAAACAGATCAAGCTTGTATTGGTTTTTCGAATACACGCTACGGTTCTTAACTGAGGTAATTGATTGATCCTTGAACGTTATAGA